ATCCAGTCCAGAACTGGTGGGGAAAAAGGCAGCAATGGGAATGCAGCCAACAACCAGCATTGCCTTGGTTTTTTTTGAAAAGGGAAGTCACATAATCCCAACAGCCTGAACACATTGCAGAAGCCAGCTCAGCGCGCCCAAACACACATGGACTGCCTTCCAAATAATTGAAATTACATATTGATAGAATTCGACTTCAGCGCCTGTTCCTTCCACCTAAGTATTTCTCCAATTGCGCTTAAACCGCCTGAATCTTCCCTCAAACAATGCAGCATCATAAATTAAACCCACTATCTGTATGCGGGTTGTGCATTTATTTATTCAAGGTTTCAAGTATTTGGGGCAAGGTTGTTAAGTAATCAAAGCTGAATTTAGCCCAGTCTCACACTAGAAAATTAATTAGCTGCAAATAGAATTCCACTTCGGCGTTTGTTTCTGTCGCCTGAGTATGTCTCCCATCTTGAAGAAAAAGCAAGCCATATTTTCACCCAAATGCCAGCCCCAGACTAGAATTTGGAATGCATAATCTACTTAAGCGCACATAGAATTCTACTTAGGCGTCAGTTTGTGACGCCTAAGCAAAATTCTGTTTGCGCCTAAGTAGATTCTGGATTATGTTTTCCAACAGCCCCAGACTAGATTTCTATTTGCGCATAGGTAGATTATGAATATAAATTATGTCTTCCAACAGCCCAGACTAGAATTTGGAAGACATGGTCTAAATAGGCGCAAATAGTAATAGCATTCTACTTAGGCGTCAGTTCGTGACGCCTAAGCAGAATTCTTTTTGCGCCCAAGTAGATTATGAATTTTGTCTTCCAACAGCCCCAGACTAGAATTTGGAATGCATAATCTATCTGGCGCAAATAGAATTCTACTTAGGCGTCACGAACAGAATTTTATTTGCACCTAAGATTACCTAAGTAGATTTAGTCTTCAAAAGAAAGACCGAAACATAAGTTCACCCCAATCTCACAATCAGAATTTTATATCTATAGACTGTGGATCAGATAGGTATAAAGTATCCATGGCAAGTTTTTCTTTTTAGCAAAACTGAATTCATCACCGGTCCACAATACAAATTCAATTTAGGTCAAGTACTTCACGACTTTGAGTGCAAACCCAGATTGATGAATCTGGATGTGTCCTCGCTGTGTGCATGGTTTTGTTTCTTTACTTCTTCAAAAGCTTGCTAATTTTCCCTTGACATGGTTTCTAACATCACCTTCTATAAGATATCCTTATTGCCCTGGTTTCTTCCATAGTCCCTTCCATAGTTCCCTCCATGGTCCACAAGGCCCACAGGTTAAGAGGCTAAAGTTTGAAATAATGTATGTATGTTAGTTATGTTAGGTTATGTCATGTTATGTTATGTAATGTAATGTAATGTAAGGTATGTATGTATCTACGTATGTATGTGTGTATGTATGCATGTATGCATGCATGTATGTATGTATGTTTGTATGTTAGTTATGTTAGGTTATGTCATGTTATGTTATGTAATGTAATGTTATGTAATGTAATGTTATGTAATGTAATGTTATGTAATGTAATGTAATGTAATGTATGTATGTATGTATGTATGGTATGTATGTATGTATGTACGTATGTATGTATGTACGTACGTATGTATGTATGTATGTATGTGTGTGTGTATGTATGTATGTATGTATGTATGTATGTATGTATGGTATGGTATGTATGTATGTATGTATGTATGTATGTATGTATGTATGTATGTATGTATGGTATGTATGGTATGTATGGTATGTATGGTATGTATGGTATGTATGTATGTACGTATGTATGTATGTACGTACGTATGTATGTATGTATGTATGTGTGTGTGTATGTATGTATGTATGTATGTATGTATGTATGTATGTATGGTATGGTATGTATGTATGTATGTATGTATGGTATGTATGTATGTATGGTATGTATGTATGTATGGTATGTATGTATGTATGGTATGTATGTATGTATGGCATGTAATGTAATGTAATGTAATGTTATGTAATGTAATGTTATGTAATGTAATGTTATGTAATGTAATGTTATGTAATGTAATGTTATGTAATGTAATGTAATGTAATGTAATGTTATGTAATGTAATGTAATGTAATGTAATGTATGTATCTATGTATGTATGTATGTATGGTATGTATGTATGTATGTACGTATGTATGTATGTACGTACGTATGTATGTATGTATGTATGTGTGTGTATGTATGTATGTATGTATGCATGTATGTATGTATGGTATGTGTGTATGTATGTATGTATGTATGTATGTATGTATGTAATGCATGTAATGTAATGTAATGTATGTAATGTAATAATGTAATGTAATGTAATGTAATGTAATAATGTAATGTGATGTATGTATGAATGTATGTATGTATGTATGTAATGCATGTAATGCATGTAATATTTGTAATGCATGTAATGTATGTAATGCATGTAATGTATGTAATGTATGCCATGTATGTAATGTATGTAATGTATGTAATGTTTGTAATGCATGTAATGTATGTAATGTATGTAATGTATGAATGTATGTAATGTATGTAATGCATGTAATGTATGTAATGTATGTAATGCATGTAATGCATGTAATGGATGTAATGGATGTAATGGATGTAATGCATGTAATGCATGTAATGTATGTAATGGGTGTATTGTATTTAATGTATGTAATGTTTGTAATGCATTTAATGTATTTAATGTATGTAATGTTTGTAATGCATGTAATGTATGGAATGTATGCAATGTATGTAATGTATGTAATGTATGCAATGTATGCCATGTATGTAATGTATGTAATGTATGTAATGTTTGTAATGCATGTAATGTATGTAATGTATGTAATGTATGAATGTATGTAATGTATGTAATGTATGTAATGTATGTAATGTATGTAATGCATGTAATGCATGTAATGGATGTAATGGATGTAATGGATGTAATGCATGTAATGCATGTAATGTATGTAATGTATGTAATGTATGTAATGTATGTAATGCATGTAATGGATGTAATATTTGTAATGCATGTAATGTATGTAATGCATGTAATGCATGTAATGCATGTAATGCATGTAATGCATGTAATGCATGTAATGTATGTAATGTATGTAATGTATGTAGTGTATGTAATGGATGCAATGTATGTAATGTATGTAATGTATGCAATGTATGTAATGTATGTAATGTATGTAATGTATGTAATGCATGTAATGTATGTAATGTATGTAATGTATGAATGTATGTAATGTATGTAATGCATGTAATGTATGTAATGTATGTAATGCATGTAATGCATGTAATGGATGTAATGGATGTAATGGATGTAATGCATGTAATGCATGTAATGTATGTAATGTATGTAATGTATGTAATGTATGTAATGCATGTAATGCATGTATTATTTGTAATGCATGTAATGTATGTAATGCATGCAATGCATGTAATGCATGTAATGCATGTAATGGATGTAATGTATGTAGTGCATGTAATGTATGTAATGTATGTAATGTATGTAATCATGTGTACATATAGACATTTTTTTGCCCGTTTTACGCACGGATTGTTCAGGATGATATCTTGTAAGCCAGTTTGAGACCAAAAATAAATAAATATGATTACATTCTGACAAACTGGTTGCTTCATTAAGGCCAAAGTGATTTTTTTTGACAATGTTACTCCCAACTGCCCAAGTCGTGGCGAAATCCCAAAAATATTGAAATTAGCTTGGGGGAAGGCTTTTGTGGAAGTCGTGGCGATGCGGCGTTTAGCTTGTGTTTAGGGTAGGTTGCTGTTTTACTATCTCATGTTGACCTAAAGTGGCGAAGCGGCGTTTAGGTTGTGTTTGGGGTAGGGCGTTGTTTCACTATTTGCATAGTGCTTTAATCTTGCTAGTTGCGTTCTCATTGTGTTTGGGATGGTTGCTGTTGGGTTCTGCAGCTACTGGCGTTTTGCTGTTGCTGCGGCTGCTGGTTCGACGGCTGCTGCTGTTGCTGTTTCCGGGTACTTCTACCCAACGCTGGGATTATCATCTCTACACTGCCATGGCGGTGTGCTGGGATTCTGCAAATTGTCATTGTTTCGCTACCAGTGATCCAAGGAAGGGCAGGTTTGCGGCTTGCGGGCCAAAGTCCATGGGTGTAGATGCGGGGCTTTTTCCGTACCTCGTTTTGACCTCGTTTTGGACCTCGTTTTTTTCCTTTATCAGAACCCATCCTGCAGTATACAAACTAGGAAACGGGCCTGCTTCGCGTTTTTGTTTGTGGGCGTCAACAGTGCCCACGAAAAAAGGCCCGTTGGAAACCGGCGTTCCGATGGGATTCAATCAAAAACGAATAGAACATAATAGAACCATGATAGTTTGGTCAAGGCTTGTTAAAGCTAGCGTTTCCAATGGGGAAAGGGGTTTTGCAAGGTCTGTGCCGGGACAGGGGTCGTGGCGAGCGTTTTGATTGGGAATAGCTGTCAAACGCAAACATTGCAAGGACTTGGGCGTATGGGTGTACCATCTATTTCTAAACCAAAGGTGCATGAATTGGTTCACAATTAAAAAAAACAAAAACGCCTTGACAGATACACAAATCTGATTCCTGGTTAAATCACGCAGGGCCAGCCCAAAGAAATGTGTGCTGTCAGGTGCAGTTCTTAGGGTTCCCAGTTATCAACAGGGGTTCCAAGTTCCAGTTTCAGCTTGTACTGGAGCAGGGTTCTTCTTTTTGGTCATGCCTTAAAAATACACACCCGGGCCATTTTCGACCACTGCTTACCATTTTTTCGTGGTAGAACCAGTAATAAACCATCCGTAGATAATTGGTGTCTATTATTGGGTACATGTACACCCTTGTTTGGGATGTAAAGTGACCCACAAATTGGTTGGTTAGTGGGATGGTTATGATTGGGTTTAACAGTTTAACCGTTGTACCACATTCACATGTGTTTTTGTTCTTTCTTGCTTTATTTCGTCGCCTCTTCAGGAGAGACTCACCGCCGAGGACAATGAGAAGCAAGTCCTGCGTTTCCCTTCGCCCCTGGTGTTCCGCATTCCCGGCAGCAAGCCAAGGAACTACATCCGTGCCAGAAGCGCCACAGTGGGTGTGGTGGAGGAAGAAGTCGCTTTGGCTGTCGAAGACTGGTATTGTCAGTTGATTACAGTAGGAAGTTATTGTTTTACCAACTATACTTATGGCATTTAAGATTTTAACCAGACATTATGTGGGAATATGTGCATGAGCTCCTACTTTTGCTCCTTGAAATATGCAATTTATATTTGATGGAAACATTGGCTCTTGCCAGTGACATTTGCTTTTGTAAAATTTTCGGTTTCTATTGCAATACCCCTTTAATTGCCACAAGTGAATTGAAATGCACCGGCAGATATGGAATCAGACAGATCCCAAAAGTTCTGTTCGGTGCCCTGGTGTGCCCCATGTCAGCCAGTGGTAAACAGTTTTTGTGGCTTGGTGGTTCGGATTCTTTTTCTTAATCCCCCCGCAATGATTCCATACATACAGTTTATATATATATGTTTATAGGGGGCTTCAGGTTCCAAAGCGTCCAAGGATGGACAGCCACGGACCTATGAGCTCCAATTGAGTGCCTTCGACCTCACGCATCTTCGCAGAGCCCGAGAACAGGACCTTGAAAGTATCGGCGAAGATGCGGAATAGCCGCCTTCAGGAAACATCAGGAAACATCGTTTCACCAAGTTTTCAGGGGCAATCACCACAACATGCTTTGCTATGGACTGTGGGGCCTCATTTTTTGATGTTTGAAGATGCTTGGAGGCTTCGTGGAAAGCAGTCTCCGCCACATGGCAGTTGTGAAAACTGAGATGACGACGGGGAGAAAAAGAGCTCCGTCTACTTTTTGGGAGATGCCAATGTCGATCCTGGTGTATCGTGTTGTGGGATTTCATCTATCCAGCTGTAGGATTTCAGCAATTTTGGGGGTTCAGACCCGCACATTTCTGAAGGATCCATAGCCACACCATGCCAGACCCACTTGTTCTCAACTTCCTCCTATCAGATTGTACCCTCTGGTGAACTAACATAGCAATGGAAAATCACCATTTTTAATGGGAAAATCCACTATAGCGCGGACGGCTTCTAAGTGGTGCGCGCACAGCGGCAGCAGTGCGGCGCAGCACGAGGTTCATGTCCAACAGATTGCTTTGTACACATCCCAAAGGCCGACGGGAGAGTTTGCCCCCGCCAGGCTTCCATGGTATTCCACAAGCTGTGGGACTACGTCATATAGAACAACCCTAAGATGGCGTCAGCACAGGGATGTCGGGACCCTGGCTGAATGCTGAGTTGGATAGGCACGGCCCTGTCGCACATGCCCACCGGTCCATTAACTAACAATCAGTTCGCGCAACCGTAGTGGAGCGCACTAAAGAAGAAAGGAAAATCCAAATGGTGCAAGTCCGATTGAGAGGACCAACCCACATAAAAACTGAGAGAAGCAATGCTGAGCACTGGTCTCCCAAAGTTGGGTAAAAAACACGAAAAGTGCGACCCACGGATTCTGAGCCGGCTCAAGCCACGTGCAATCACTGTCGACATGCTGCCCCGCTCGCTTGCTGCCTCAATCCGAAGGATGCCGCTCCCCAAAGACATACCGGCGCCTTGTCGGACCTCAAACTACAAAATCGACAGAGTTGCAGCAAGCCACGTGCATCGGACATGCAGGCCACTCTGTCCCACAAGTGCTCTCGAGGTTGAAACCAAGACGGCCATTCAGGGTAGCATCCCTGCTGTTCCGGCTGAAGAGAGTCATCTGCCAGGTGCCAAACAAGCAAGCCAGTAATCAAGGCACTGAAATCGAGACAGGCAATGAGATGTGCGCGGACTACCTGTAGAGCAGCGCTGTTTGTGATCACATCCTTCACACGATTGGGAGTAGCCGTGATGCCCAAACCAGATAGCATCAGGGGATGCAGAATGCCAATGCCTTTCTGATGAAGGAGCCACACGAGGAGGAAACAAGCCATGGTGCAACGATCTCCCAAGCATCGGTTGTAAACAGCCCCACTAACTGGAAAGACTTGGGCCGAGGGTTAGGAAAATCAACTATAAATTGCCATTTTCAATAGCTTTTTGTTAGTTCACCAGAGGGTAACCTCATTCTAACTTGGCCAGTTGCATCATGTTGCATCCCAATCTGCATATCTGGTGTCGAAAGCTGCCGGTCCAGGTCCCAACCGTCCAGGCACGTGACCCGAGGCCGCAGATTTGGCAATCAATTCATGTGGTAATCCCATAGTCAACCTCTAATTTTTTTTGGAATGGTTTATTGTTGGCTTTGCGACATTCTTCGTTTTTTTTTCCCAAAAAACGTCTTCGATGCTTTCTTTTGATCTTGGTCTGCTGACTGACAAGAAACTTGCCAAGGATTGTGGGGATGGAGTGTGTTGAGGAAGTGGAAATGAAAGTGTGGACAGCAGGGAAGACATGAAGGTAAATGGGTGGGTTTATGGATGAGCGAGTGTGGATGGACCGAAACGTGGAAGAAGGTGACAGTGACCCTGTAAGTTCCTTGAAAGGATCCTTGTGCAGAGATGTTGTGACTTCTTACGAAGCTACTCTCCTGAAATGATTTCCCCCAAACTGTTTGGGCCCCCTTGCCCAACAAATCAATGATCTTCTGATCACACCGTTCTACGGGTTTTGAATCTTTACGGACCGACTTGCTGGTGTTTGCGTATTGGGACCGGAGATTTTAAAATTCATCTCTGTGGGTTCCGTATCATTTGAACACGAACGATACACATCAATTTGTGTGATGCAAGGGGGCAGGGCGGAGTTAATGTGCATATGTATGGGGATGATTCGGTTTTATAGCGAGGAAGTCATGCCCCATCAGGTCATGGTGAGACATTCTTTGGGGTACAGCCATGGTTTGGTTGAAATCCATATAATTAATTTCAATTGGAACATGACAGCTGGGCCGTGCCAGGCAATCGGTTTCTGCTTTGAAATATGCAGCTTTGGCCCGAGCGCCAGGTTTCGATCCTGTGACGTGCCTCAGCCAGTGGCGAAGACCGCCTACTTTTTTGTTGCAGCTCTTGGTCTGGACATCTGTGGACTGTCCAATGGAAACTTTGCATGTGGTTTATAATACCATTGAAACGTATGTTCAATAGTTGGGCTGTAGAGCCATTTCCAGATCAGGTTTTCTATTGCAAAGGGACTATATTCCTTGCAAAGAGCTTGCAACTGGCAGCAACTAGCAGCAAGTGCTGGGTTTTGCGCAACTTGAAGTTCTTTTTCATGCTGCCACCGAAGCTTGGAACAAGTTGTCAAATTCAAATGGCAGCATTCAGCGATGCTCTGGTGGGCCTTGGCTGGGAGAGCGGTCCTAGCCATACATGGACACACGGCAACAAAAAGTCGCGGTGATTGCGGTGGGGCCAAGGCGCGGTAGAGAAACACCATTTAAAAAAAAATCAGCATAGCTCAGCCAATTTTGGGCCTACCTCAAGCCCTGGACAAAACTCAGGGCATGAGACTCATGAGACCCCAAAATCAAGGAATGACCCATTGCTTGGCTGAAGGAGCCCAGCACTGAGTCCCTGATGGATTCGGGCGTGTTTTGCAGCATCATTCGATTCTTCCTATTGGAGCGCATGTTCCGGTGCGATTCATAGGTTTACCGCAGTGGGTGGCCATCCAATGCCGTAGTGCATGTGCCGGGTCTATTTTAAGCGACCCTTCAAGGATCCCAAATCAGGTGCTTTTCCCGGCTGCACCATGTCATACCTTGTGATTCTGATATTGTATTCTGATACGGGGTTCTTTAAATGGAGGATCCCCAAACCATGGGTTTCAATTTCAATAATTTTCAATATATTATTTATATATATATATATATATACAGAAATGGTCTATTGACAGAATGACTTGGATGATTTGGGGGTACTCCATTTTAGGACACCTGAATAAAACTTCCTCTGATGCGCGATATGTCTCCGCAGGCTCCGATACACACAGACATGCATAGACAAACGCGACCACAGCCTGCACCCAAGTTGTATGCACCGCACACACACACACACTTGCATATCATACTACTGTATATCAACTTTATATCCTCATCATACACTGCATGCAATTCAGAAGCACGGACAGCTGATGACAGATGCATGCACATATACAGCTGCATGTGCATCGTGATGCTCACAATGCATAACCACATACTTTAACACATTTTAACAAAGAAACACCCAGATTAAACCCATATAGCCATATATATATAGCCCACATTCTCCCATGAGTGCATCGACATATCGACATCCCAAAATCCCGAAATCGCCGCCATGTCGGTGGATGTGACCAACATGACCTTCAAGGTGTGTCGTGCGACCGAGGCGCGGTGTCGCGCCATGGGGTAGCTGGGTGGTCCTAAGAATAGCAGATCAAGCAGCCAACGAGGTTGGACGAGGATTTTTCGATGGCAGGTGGTAGTTCCGGATTTTTTTGGGGGGGAGCGTGGGGGAGATCAATTGGCGAAGCCTGGAAAAACCTCCCTTTGGCATTCGTGCAGCAGGTTTAGATCTACCCTCTGCAAATCTAGCACGGCAACTAAGTCCAATTGAACAGCCAAACATATCCAGCATGTTTACAGTCTGCATATTTTCATTCCTTTGAATGTCTCTGCCCTGAAATCCTAGCTATTCTTAGCTTCTACTTCACGGGCAATGCTCCTGAAAGTGCCGACAGCCACGACTTTCCAATGCTTGGGGCTAGTCAGGGCTAGCAGAGTGACAGGGCAGCATGAAGGATTACTTTCAAAACGGGCCGTTGGCCACACATGAAGCTCAATTTCTAATACATTCTAAAACCAACCAGTGGAAGAGAACATGGCTGTTTCTGAAGGGGTCACTCTTTTGCTCTTGTGCACTGCCAAGGGCTCTAGTTGTCAAGTTGTACATACAGATTTTTCGTCTCGATTGCGATGGAGCTGCTTCCATGTGCCCCAGCATGGCTTCCCCTCCAACTCAGCCACGCGCTTGTGGTCCCAATGCTGCTCCTGGCAGCTGCGCACCTGAGTTTAACCAAGACCGATCTTCAGCTCGGGCTGGCGCGACTTCGGGAAAAGTTCCAGCAGCGAAAGCAGCCTGTGAGCCAGGGCGAGCTCGATCGAGCTCGGCGTTTCGAGGAGGAGCTGCTGAGAATTCGGCTGGAGATGTTTCAAAGGGTCCCTGGCAGAGGAAAGGTGTTCTTTTCAGTTTTTTTTGGTTGATGCCCTTTTTTTGGTAATTCTTGCGTTTTCCATCCTTCAATAAGAAGTGATGAGCAGATGATGACGATGACGATGATGAGGATGATGGCCACCACGACGACGACGAGGAGGAGGAGGAGGATGATGATGACGAGGAGGACGAGGACGAGGACGAGGACCACGACGACGACGAGGAGGACGAGGAGGAGGAGGAGGAGGAGGACAACGAGGAGGACGACAACGACAACGACAAAGATGACGTTGATGGCGAGAATGACGATGATTATGAGGATGAGGATGATGACATTGATGATGAGGATGATGATATTGATGATGATGATGATGATGATGATGACGATGACGATGACAACGACAATGACGTGGACGACGAGGATGATGAGGATGACAAGGATGGCGATGATTATGATGATGATTATGATGATGATGATGATGAGGAGGAGGAGGACGACGAGGAGGACAACAACAACGACAACGACAACGACAAAGATGATGTTGATGGCGAGAATGACGATGATTATGAGGATGAGGATGATGATCATGATGCTGCTGCTGCTGGCGGCGGCGGCGTAGTGGGTGGTGGGTGGTGGGTGGGTGGTGGGTGGTGATGGTGATGACGAAGATGAGGATCCCACTGTTCAACTGACTCTTTTATTTTTTCCATATACATGGATTTCTCCAGTTGTCGGATGTTGTCGGGTGGTATCAGATTCATTATGTGAGCTGCCCTCCTTCCATTTCCTCCCCTGGGCCCCAATCATCCCTCAAAGGGGTCCTGATTTTTTTTTGAGGCGGCTCAGCGACCGCCTAGGCCCACCTTTTCGCTCTACATTTTCTGTTCGCATACAGCCTGGCCATGGTTCTGAACCTGATGATGGATCCGAGCCTAGCTTCATTGATGCAACTCATAAGCCCACTAGTGGGCTATGCTATGCACGTGTCTGTTCAGGCAGGTTTCGTACAGTTCAAGACCAAGAACCACTTTCGCGTGGTGCAAAGTATTGCTGTTGTTAGCTATACCACATTCCTCTACGGTGTGGCCAATGAGCAAGAATATGAGCGTTTCTGTGCCGCGGAAAGGGTTGCAGGTACGACACTTATGCTGCAATGTGTGCTTCTCATTGATATGCACGTGACCCTCCCAATCTCCATCCTTTCGTCTGCAGTAGTAACTTTCAAACGCTGGCAGTTGATGGGTTTCTCGAACGTCACTCCCGAGCTCGTGTGGTCCACTCTGGTCTCGCATGCGACAGTTACTTGGATAGTGTTCTGGGTTTCGCATGCCCTGCAGTCCAGCATAGCTAGAAAACTGGAATCCGACGATGCGTCGTCCCTCCTTCTGGCATCCCGTCATGTCTTGAAAGGTGTCTGTGATGGAGACTTGGTATTAGATCGTCGCAGCCATCTGATTGTGGAGGATGCGAGCCCGTTGGAACGGCTCTTGCATGCCAAGGAGAAGTTGAGCGGAAGAAACTTCTTGGACCTCTTTCTGGACGCAGATGGGCGGCAGCGATTTTTGCACTTTCTGCAAAGTGAAGCTGCCCCCAAAGCAAGCAAAGCCGCCATCCCGCCATGCCTGAGGATCGCCTTGCAGGGGGCGGATGGCCCAGTGTCCACCGATGTCTTCTGCACAAGTTGTGCGGCAGCAGGGAAAGACTATGAAAGACTGCTCCTGGCCCATGTTTCAATAGTTTTTTTAATGCCCATAAACAATGGAGCAGCCGCCAAAACCTCCAAGTGGAGATTTAAAGGGCTGTTAAAGTAAGATGGCTCCGCGAAAGCTAAAACCACGTTCGCGAAAGAGCTCCCGCGAAAGCTCGCGAAAGAGACTTTCAAGGCTCAAAATCCTGGTTTTAAGTATGTTTGTAGACAGCTTCCTCAGATGTATCTGGATCCATACGGATACATTATTCACAAATTTCGATAGATGTGACCCGAAAGTCCGCGAAAGCTTCGCGAAAGCTCCGCGAAAGATCCGCGAAAGCCCTGACTAGCTGGGACGGGCCCCCCCATTTGATAGGGGAGTGGCAGTGCCCACTAAGATCTGGCGCTTGTGGCGTCTGGCTGTGCCCACTGAGATCCGCGGTCGCAGTTGGGGTCCGGCAGTGCCCACTGAAATCTGGCGCTCGCGGTTGAGGTCCGGCCCCACTGAGATCTGGAGCTCGCGGTTGAGGGTGGGGTGGAGGACGAGGAGGTGAAGGAGGAGGAGGCCACCGGATGCAATATCAATCCACATGTTGCCACAGTGATAACTGCTGCAAAACGATGTCCGTTGTGCTTGGAATTAAAGGTTTCAAAATGCGCACTTCACTGCGGAAAACGGGGAATTTGTGTCACATGTTTTCCGCGAAAGCTCGCGAAAGTGAATTTCAGACACATGGATGCCGCGAAAGAAAAACCCTGCATCGCGAAAGGTTCGCGAAAGAGATGGCGAAAGGGAAGACAGAGTAGAACACAAAGTATCGGGGTTTCGGCAACTGCTCAATTATTGATTTGTTCGTTTCCTTTTACATCGGTTGAAATGGGGTGGTGAGCCCCAAATCAGAATCATGACAACGCCAGTTTTTGGTCGTAAAAAAACGCTGCGCCCAGATTACCTGCTGGCATTCCGCGCTGATCCGGACCAAGTTCTTGCCCCACCCGATGCGCCGTTGGGGGCTTTTGAGGTCACGCGGCAAGGCTCGGAAGGGCGGCAGCGGCAGAGGTCAGAGGGCCCAGGCAGCTCCAGCGAAGTCGCGGAAGCCTTCAATGAGCTGGTGCAGGCTGGGTGGTTCGAAGGTTCGGTTTCGCCTGCGCGAAGAACACCATGATATAGAAAATGATAGAAATCATTTGAAATCTATTGCGCATAACAATTTGATATATATATATAAATAATTTGATATATGTTCTGTCTTCGTAGTCATAGGAGATATTTTCCCAATGATGGCGATAGAACATGATATAAATTAATTATACGACATCATACTGTAAGAATCCAGCCCCCAATGCCTTGAAAAGCGGATGGTGCATGGTCAGCTTTTGGGGTGCATTCTGTTTGCCACAAATGGGGAATGTAGTTCCTGCTGAAACATCCCAAACGCTTTCGGCAGATTTGAGTGATTTTCTCAATTAGTTGGTGTTTTTAATCGGTACTTTGAAACCACGATGGCCGGGGATGGCTTTATAATATCATATAATATCAAGAACCGCCCTCCAGTGGGCTGCAACATGTTTCCTTTTCCAAGAGACCATGAAAAGTTTGCATTGATTCTTCTAGACAAGGTAATCTCCAAAAATGCAGGGCCAATTGGCCAATTGGTTGGATTTCTTCTACAGCTCCCGGAGAACACATCGCCTGTTCAACGTTGCCATCTCCAAAGGGATGCCCGGAGTCCCGCAGGTGACACTGATTGTGAGCAACGGCAACCCCCGGATGGACATCGAAGAGGCTTCCTTGTCATTCTGTCGCTCGCGCCAAAGCCGTGGCATGCCGACCCTGCGCAACTTCATTCCCATCAACCACTGGGAGCGGGTGGTGGAGTTCTTCCGCAGTGCCAAGGATGGGGCATTGTTTCAAAGCATGAAGAAAGTAGCCTGTGGCAATTGAAGATACATATGGTCATGGCCCGTTTATAGAGGATTACCTATAACATGATCTCATGGTAATTTTTCATAGCTATGTTAAGTTACCAGAGGGTGTGTGCATATCATGAAGGATTTTGTATGCAAAATTGCACTGATTCCCAGATATGTTTGCATGTTTTGTACATACTGTCGTACTGTCGCCTAGTGTCTTGTTCAGTACATGGTTCCGTTTTGTACTATTATTCAATGTTGTGTTGTATAGTTTTGTTTGTATTGTCTTGTGATGTGTATTGTCGTGTCATGTGATTTCTGAACATGTATGATATGTCATGAAATGGTTGTATGGACTTGCGTGCCTGGCATGTTTGCATTTTTCTCTTTCAGGGTTGTTTTCATGAGATAATCACAGCCCGACGAGAATGGTCAGCGGTCAGCTTCAAAAGAGATACTGCCGCACCTATTGAGGTGGTGTTTTAATGGGTTGGCAGACCCAGAAAGCAATGGCCACAAAATACTTTGGCTCAAAATTTATCATTTCAATAACTCCAAGGTTCAGCTTGCTCAAATTTTGCAAATGGCGATCAACAAAGAGATTCATTATATATACATATATATACTGCCGGACAATCACTTAGAAGATATTTTGGATTTTTTTTTTTCATGTTCGTGCCGGGGAGGCTCTTCTAAGTGTGAGACATAGAAGATATTTTTTTTTAAACCTCACACTTAGAAGATTCATGTTGAACAAACAATAAAAATAATTACATATAATTACAAATGCATTGATTGATATGAACAAAACGTTCAAAAAATGATAAAAATACGTTAAATTTAAATCATTTCACTGTAATAATCACAAAAGCAGCTGATTTCATACGACCCTCGTCCACCACATGTTTCCCATCCCAGGGTTAAAAGATGTTAAAAGCTTTCCTGATGAATACAAATTTATGTATACATCTATCTTATATCAACATTGTTGCAACAATGTTTGTGGTGGATGAGGGTCGTATGAAATCAACTTGAAGGAGTTGACCATTCCCAAACATTATCTTCTAAGTGTGGTGCCTCACCACCTGGTTGGGCCACCCGGGAAATCACGGAATTTCCAACACACCAGCAATAACCACAATATGGTTTGTTTCCCATCCCAAGGTTAAAAGCTTTCCTGATGAATACAAATTTATGTATACATCTATCTTATATTGCTGGTGTGTTGGAAATTCCGTGATTTCCCAGGTGGCCCAACCAGGTGGTGAGGCACCACACTTAGAAGATAAGAAGATAATGTTTGGGAATAATCAACTCCTTCAAGTTGATTTCATACGACCCTCGTCCACCACATGTTTCCCATCCCAGGGTTAAAAGTTTTCCGGTTGAATACAAATTTATGTATACATCTATCTTATATCAACATTGTTGCAACAATGTTTGTGGTGGATGAGGGTCGTATGAAATCAACTTGAAGGAGTTGACCATTCCCAAACATTATCTTCTAAGTGTGGTGCCTCACCACCTGGTTGGGCCACCCGGGAAATCACGGAATTTCCAACACACCAGCAATAACCACAATATGGTTTGTTTCCCATCCCAAGGTTAAAAGCTTTCCTGATGAATACAAATTTATGTATACATCTATCTTATATTGCTGGTGTGTTGGAAATTCCGTGATTTCCCAGGTGGCCCAACCAGGTGGTGAGGCACCACACTTAGAAGATAAGAAGATAATGTTTGGGAATAATCAACTCCTTCAAGTTGATTTCATACGACCCTCGTCCACCACATGTTTCCCATCCCCGGGTTAAAAGCTTTCCTGATGAATACAAATTTATGCAAACATCTTATATCAACATTGTTGCAACAATGTTTGTGGTGGATGAGGGTCGTATGAAATCAACTTGAAGGAGTTGACCATTCCCAAACATTATCTTCTAAGTGTGGTGCCTCACCACCTGGTTGGGCCACCCGGGAAATCACGGAATTTCCAACACACCAGCAATAACCATAATATGGTTTGTTTCCCATCCCAAGGTTAAAATCTTTCCTGCTGAATAATGAATACAAATTTATGTATACATCTATCTTATATTGCTGGTGTGTTGGAAATTCCGTCATTTCCCAGGTGGCCCAACCACACTTAGAAGATACGAAGATAATGTTTGGGAATAATCAACTCCGTCAAGTTGATTTCATACGACCCTCGTCCACCACATGTTTCCCATCCCAGGGTTAAAAGATGTTAAAAGCTTTCCTGATGAATACAATTTATGTATACATCTATCTTATATCAACATTGTTGCAACAATGTTTGTGGTGGATGAGGGTCGTATGAAATCAACTTGAAGGAGTTGACCATTCCCAAACATTATCTCTAAGTGTGGTGCCTCACCACCTGGTTGGGCCACCCGGGAAATCACGGAATTTCCAACACACCAGGAATAACCACAATATGGTTTGTTTCCTCCCATCCCAAGGTTAAAAACTTTCTTGATTCATTGATGAATACAAATTTATGTGTACATCTATCGTATATTGCTGGTGTGTTGGAATTTCCGTGATTTCCCAGGTGGCCCAACCAGATGGTGAGGCACCACACTTAGAAGATAAGAAGATAATGTTTGGGAATAATCAACTCCTTCAAGTTGATTTCATACGACCCTCGTCCACCACATGTTTCCCATCCCAGGGTTAAAAGCTTTCCTGATGAATACAAATTTATGTATACATCTATCTTATATCAACATTGTTGCAACAATGTTTGTGGTGGATGAGGGTCGTATGAAATCAACTTGAAGGAGTTGACCATTCCCAAGCATTATCTTCTAAGTGTGGTGCCTCACCACCTGGTTGGGCCACCCGGGAAATCACGGAATTTCCAACACACCAGCAATAACCACAATATGGTTTGTTTCCCATCCCAAGGTTAAAAGCTTTCCTGATGAATGCAAATTTATGTATACATCTATCTTATATTGCTGGTGTGTTGGAAATTCCGTGATTTCCCAGGTGGCCCAACCAGGTGGTGAGGCACCACACTTAGAAGATAAGAAGATAATGTTTGGGAATGATTAACTCCTTCAAGTTGATTTCATACGACCTTCATCCACCACTGACATTATTACAATAATGTTGATATATGAAAATTCAATATATATATACATATACATATGGACCATCAACACTCTTTTATAAGGGATGAGAAACACATCTTATTCCGTGATTTCCCATGGGTCACCACCAGTTGATTAACAGTTCATTTCATACGATTTTTACAAACCATTATATATATATATATATATATTTAAATAATAATATATAATTAGTTTGATTCATATATTTATTGGCGTTCTTTGCATTAACTATTATTAGTGTACTATGGACATATATAGTTAGCTGGGGCGACATCACACTTAGAACATTGCCGGACAATCACTTAGAAAATATCATCATAAATCTTGTAAGTGTGAATGTTAAAAAATAGGCCACTTCTAAGTGTTACGTTCTAAGTGTGGGATTTTCTTTGTTAGTTTTTTATCTTCTAAGTGTGAGGTCCCCAATTTTGGATTTTTTTTTAATCTTCTAAGTGACTGTCCGGCAGTATATATATGTTTAATACCATATATATATTATTATATGTGTATATATATATAAATGTATATATATATAGTATATATATATTATACTATATTATACTATATACACTATATATATATATACTATATATACATATGATGTAACCTGGCACTTGGAAATTCATCAGCCATTTTTCTCTTTGAACGCAACGAGGACGGGATTTCTCCGCAACATGGTGGGCTTCGTGGAGGAGCTCCCGGCCACTGGGCCCACTGGGCGCTTTCCGGCCGTTAAACGGGGACGGGACGTCCCGAAAGCCATGGGAAAATATGTGAAATTCATCGGAAAACATGTGAAATTCATGGGAAAACATGTGAAATTCATGGGAACATATGGGAAGATGGGGGCAACTCATGGAAACTCAGAAGAATGTGGATATGGGAAAATCAGGGAACATTCCTTTTTGAAAATGGGGAAATGCTGGTTCCAAAGATGCTCAAGATCATGTCCAAATATGGGACCAAAAATATGGGGATGGGTCTACATTTAAGCCCTATGCAACCATAGATTTTAGTATACCCATAGGATCCATGGTGCTGGTATATATGCTAACATAAAGGGGGTATATATATATATATTGATGGGATCCATGGCACACCATATATAGCAGCACCATGGATAGATTTTGGGATATACATTTCGTTTTCACCATCGAATTATTGAGGTACCCAAGTACTTGACCTACACCCATCTGGGAAATCCCTTGTAAGTATGGGAAAACATTGGAACATCGGAAAATCAGGGCAAATCCCTGAACTAAATGGAGGTTTGAATGGGTACTGACCAGTAGGTACACTGATTGGAGCAACTGTTTGATGCTTGAATCGCGTGGTTAAACATGTTCAAATCTCAAACATGCATAAATTAAGATAGGCAATCATGTCCATGGATTTCCCTGCAAAACTGTGGAATGTTGATAGAATTTTTGTCAGTATCCCTATCATTAAGCTAATTGTTACACGTCATGCAGAAAGATGATCCTTTTAAAACGATTTTGAATGATATGAATGTACGTGATGTTTGTACACCTCTATATACCCTCTGGTAAACGTTTACATAACTATGGAAAGATCCACCATTTTCAGTGGGTAAATCCACTGTAAATATCTATAAATGACCATTTTCAATAGCTATGTTAAATTACCAGAGGGTAACTGTGATGGTTACAGCTCTAATTGAACATCCACGAAACCATTGCTACAATGGGCTGGATGTTTGCATGCAGGCAATGCTAGGACATTGCAACGCAACTTGATGATGCGCAGCCTTGTGCGTTGGATAGCATCGCTTTTTTAGAGGTGAAATCCCTCAAACTTTGCGAGTGAAATCGCAATGTTTACTCGTGCAATTTCTATTTTAGTGATGAAAACCCATATGTATATATAATACGTAGATATAATATGTAGATCTAATATGTAGATATAATATGTAGATATAATATGAAGATATAATGTGTAGATATAATATGTAGATATAATATGTAGATATAATATGTAGATATAATATGTAGATATAATATGTAGATATAATGTGTAGATATAATATGTAGATATAATATGTAGATATAATATGTAGATATAATATGTAGATCTAATATGTAGATCTAATATGTAGATATACTATGTAGATAAAATATGTAGATCTAATATGTAGATATAATAAGTAGATATAATATGTAGATCTAATATGTAGATATAATGTGTAGATATAATATGTAGATATAATATGTAGATATAATATGTAGATATAATATGTAGATCTAATATGTAGATCTAATATGTAGATATAATATGTAGATACAATATGTAGATCTAATATGTAGATCTAATATGTAGATATAATATGTAGATCTAATATGTAGATATAATATGTAGATTTAATATGTAGATAAAATATGTAGATATAATATGTAGATCTAATATGTAGATACAATATGTAGATCTAATATGTAGATATAATATGTAGATATAATATGTAGATCTAATATGTAGATATAATATGTAGATATAATATGTAGATCTAATAAGTAGATATAATATGTAGATCTAATATGTAGATCTAATATGTAGATCTAATATGTAGATCTAATATGTAGATCTAATATGTAGATATAATATGTAGATATAATATGTAGATCTAATATGTAGATGTAGATATAATATGTATAATATATAGATATAATATGTAGATCCAATATGTAGATCTAATATGTAGATCTAATATGTAGATCTAATATGTAGATCTAATATGTAGATCTAATATGTAGATCTAATATGTAGATCTAATATGTAGATATAATATGTAGATCTAATATGTAGATACAATATGTAGATTTAATATGTAGATATAATATGTAGATATAATATGTAGATCTAATATGTAGATCTAATATGTAGATCTATTATGTAGATATAATATGTAGATATAATATGTAGATCTAATATGTAGATATAATATGTAGATATAATATGTAGATATAATATGTAGATCTAATATGTAGATCTAATATGTAGATATAATATGTAGATACAATATGTAGATACAATATGTAGATATAATATGTAGATATAATATGTAGATCTAATATGTAGATATAATATGTAGATCTAATATGTAGATCTAATATGTAGAACTAATATGTAGATCTAATATGTAGATATAATATGTAGATATAATATGTAGATATAATATGTAGATATAATATGTAGCTATAATATGTATGTGTGTACATCATGTTTACTGCTGAAATCCCCCTGTTCACTGTTGAAATTCCCAGCGCCGAGGAATATGCAAGAGCTTCCTATGTGAATCAAAGTGTGGACGAACAACTCCTGGAGCCAAAGCGGCACCATCCAAAAACCCAAGGTTTGGAGATGTACAGTACCCTCTTGTAATTTACCCGGCCTGGTAAACATACAAAAAGCTATTGAACATGGCTATTTATAGTTGATTTGCCTCTTAGAAATGGTGATTTTCCATAGTTATCTTAGTTTACCAGAGGGTAACATAGCTACTAATTAGTATGAAAAACACTATTTTAGATAGGTACTGTAAATTAAATGATCATGTTCATCATCTATAAACGGGCCATTGACCATAACTATGTTAAATAGCTAGAGGGTATTTAAGTTGTTTTGTGCATGTATTTTTGTGAGTTTCTGGATGTGGTTAGCAGCATATTTTGTTTGTTTCCTGTGCAGATGTTATGCCGCAACAACATAAACATTAAACTTGAGATCCAAAACCAGCAATCATCGGGATGAAAATTTTGTTTCACCCAAGTTGGTTATTCTGTGCAAATTGGTTTAATTTGGCAATGCATTGTGACATTGTGAATACCTGCATTAGGGTATACCATGGTTTTCCCCATGAGTCAAACCGGATTTTTTCCCCAATTTCGACTGGCGAATGGTTTCCAAGGGTCCATCGTGTTTGTAGTTCAAGGCCACGCCGATGTTTTTGGAGATATACAGTTATATATATAATATATAATATAAAATCTCGATATATATATACATTATATGTATATATATAACTGTATATATATATATACATAACTGTATATATATATACAACTGTATATATATAACTGTATATATATAACTGTATATATATAACTGTATATATATATATATGTATATAACTGGGGATACTAAACGTACAGGGGGTATGGCATATGGCTATTCCCCACACAATAGCCGGCATGCGCGCCCAACTAAGTATTCACTAGCCACGCACATCCTAAATTCATTCCTTTATTTGGAGCATGATCGGCGATAGGAATGAGGAAGGGCCCCGCCCAGTTATAATTTTGTTGTAAGTCCAGCTAAGTACGCATAGATATATATCCATCCTAAATCCAAAATTTCGCCTAGTAAGAAGCCAACTTTTTTCTAGGTGACCTAGGTGACCCCTCTTTTTTTCAGAGTCAGTCGACAATTTTAGAAAGGACCCACGGTTTGTCAGCAGGTTTTCGCTCATCTGCTCCAAGAATGTTGTTGGTATATCTGGGGATGGGATGTATTCATATCAGTAACTCTTCCTGTTCTCTACCCGGCCTGGTAAACATACAAAAAGCTATTGAAAATGGCCATAGAAATAGTGGATTTTCCCATTGAAATTGGTGATTTCCCCATTGTTATGTTAGTTTACCAGAGGGTATCCCAGGCAACTGATAGTAGTTGAGACAATCCCAGTTGATACTCATCTGATAAGCGAAAAATTGATTACAACTGGCGAGTTCTTGAACATCTAGAAAAACACTCCCCATTTACATCCATTTACATGGCACATGTCATCCTGATTTATGGTTCATCGTCCTCATTTGTGGTAAATGCCGACATTCGTTTATATCTCCCACATACGCCCTCTATGGAACATTTACTAACATGTCCCTGCAGAATTGCACACATGTACGAAATTGTGTACAGGTTTGATAGCACTTAAGTTGCTTAAATCATTTCCTGGTTGGTGGTTTGGAACATTTTTTATATTTCCATTCAGTTGGGAATGTCATCATCCCAACTGACGAACTCCATCATTTTTCAGAGGGGTAGGTCAACCACAAACCAGTATAAATCATGTTAAATCCCAGTTTTTGATATTAAGACACAAAGGTTTGTCAGTTTTTAGCGCCAACGTTTTGACCAATAAACAATTTCCCAATTTTTGATGTTGAATCATAGTCATAAAACTCCCAATTTCCTACAAGCTGCGGAAAAAAGTTTACAATTGCGATTAGTTGGTAAACTATGGTTTATGGTAGATATACCCTCTGGTAAACTAACATAGCTATTGAAAATGACCGTTTAAAATGGTGATTTTCCATAGCTATGTTAAATTACCAGAGGGTAACTGATATAAAATGATATAACTACAGCTACATGGGGGGCCCCACCAACAAACGTTTAACGTTTCGGGGGCCCCAGGGGGGCCCGGTCGAGAGAGCCCCGAGGAGTGGCCATGCTTCTGGTGCCAACGTGTGGTTGAGACGTTGATGGTGTGGCAGCGGCGAGCGACGGCCAGCGGTTCGGTTGGGGTCGACCTTTTTGGCGATTTCCATAGGAAAAAACGACCAAAAGCCTGGAAAATACTATACCATAATAACATTAATAGTGGTAGTATAGGGATTATAAAATACCATGATATAGGGATATTATAACCATTATAATCTATACTACCATTACTGGTTGGTGATTTTTTAGAACGTTTTGTATTTTTTTCCAGAAATATTGGACTGTCATATTTTTCAGAGGGGTTGCTCAACCACCAACCAGCTTTTTCCGGGAACATCGAAGCCGGTTAAAAAACCATATGGTTGGGGATGTTTCATATCCCCCTGGGGGGTGCATCCTAATTAGAAAATCTAGTCAATCAATCATGAATCTAAGTGGGGTATATCATGGTATATCCCACATATAACTCGAATGTAATATGCTTATTACTAATAAGTTATTACCAATTTTCCGGGGATGCACATCAAGCAGGAATTTACTTTGTTTGAAAGGTCTTTTTTTTGGACCAAGGCTTTGACCACACACTTGTGCCAGCTGATTTTGATGTGACATGAACCATTCTTGTTGTTCCGTGACATTGGTTTGTCATTCTAGCAACCCCACGACAAATAGAAAAGTCAAATCCTAATAAGATAGTGATGAGGAATCACTTTTCCGTCTTTTTGCTGCTTACTACAATGGTTCAATGGCATCCTCAATCAGAAAAAGTAGAACTGTTCCAATTCGAAAAAGGATCAGCTACTTCCTTAAACATCTTAAACTGCGCAGTTGTCAAATGGGTATGGGTCAATACCTATAGGTACATTTTTAGTGGGTTATTCACATCCATAAATCCCAGCTATGACTTGGGGTTCACTAGGGGTACAAGGTTTTGACCCATCCCCAAATCATCCCACATGATTTTTCCGCGATGTTTTCGGCGATTTTTTTTTGGTGGTCAAGGACCTCCAGTTGGAGTTCACCATCATGGATGATGAAGGAAACTTCTCAAGGCGGGACCGATCGGTCGGAGCAAAAAAAGATCTGTATTTAATATGGATCTATATGGAGGTTTTCTGAGATCATTCAAGTAATTTAACTAGTTAGTAGTGGTTAGTAGTGGTTAGTGGTTACTAGTGGTTAGTAGTGGTTAGTAGTGGTTAGTAGTGGTTAGTAGTGGTTAGTAGTGGTTAGTGGTTACTAGTGGTTAGTAGTGGTTAGTAGTGGTTAGTAGTGGTTAGTAGTGGTTAATAGTGGTTAGTAGTGGTTAGTAGTGATTAGTAGTGGTTATATAGTAGTGGTTAGTGGTTAGTAGTGGTTAGTAGTGGTTAGTAGTGGTTAGTAGTGGTTAGTAGTGGTTAGTAGTGGTTTGCAATGGTTAGTAGTGGTTAGTAGTGGTTAGTGGTTAGTAGTGGTTAGTAGTGGTTAGTAATGGTTAGTAATGGTTAGTAGTGGTTAGTAGTGGTTAGTAATGGTTAGTAGTGGTTAGTAATGGTTAGTAGTGGTTAGTAGTGGTTAGTAGTGGTTAGTAGTGGTTAGTAGTGGTTAGTAGTGGTTAGTAGTGGTTTGTAATGGTTAGTAGTGGTTAGTAGTGGTTAGTGGTTTGTAATGGTTAGTAGTGGTTAGTGGTTAGTAGTGGTTAGTAGTGGTTAGTAGTGGTTAGTAGTGGTTAGTAGTGGTTAGTAATGGTTAGTGGTGGTTAGTAGTGGTTAGTAGTGGTTAGTAGTGATTAGTAGTTGTTAGTAGTGGTTAGTAGTGGTTAGTCGTTAGTAGTGGTTAGTAGTGGTTAGTGGTTAGTAATGGTTAGTAATGGTTAGTAATGGTTAGTAATGGTTAGTAATGGTTAGTAATGGTTAGTAATGGTTAGTAATGGTGACTTTTCATGGGATCTTTCATGGGATCTACTGGGATATATACCCTCTGGTATTTTTTTACAGTTTGCTATTGAAAATGGCCGTTGATAGTTGATTTACCCAGCTATAAACCTATACGTTTCAACCCTAGATTTTCTCACCAAACTCAACCCATACAACAAAAGCTGACCGGTGAAATTAAGCTTGGATGGTCAACATGGCCCAACTACCCTCTGGTAAACGTTTACATAGCGAACTGGAAAATCACCATCTTTAAGTTCGGTAAATCAACGAACTCAATGGGCCATTTTTTAATAGATGATTTTTTTAATAGATGATTTCTAATAGATGATTTATAGATCAACTATAAATGGGCCATTTTTAATAACATTTTTGTATGTTTACCAGAGGGTAAAAAAATGCTCAAAAAATGCAGTCCCGTGATCGGTGCCCTTGATCCAGGGATCCAGGGCGACTGATAGTGAACCACCGACGCAGTGGAATGGTAAGACCTGCAGGTAGGCCGTTGATTTTAAAAACGGATATTCGTTTGAAGCTCGTAATGTATATTTTTGAAGCCTGGATCATATTAGCCAGTCATATTATATAGAGTAATTTAATAGTATATGATGGTTTCACTTTTGTTGTTTATTACAGCATGGAAGGTTCGTTTCACCTTCCATGTCATAGCAACTCCGATACGTGAAGACCAACCAAAATCCTCAGTTTGTGATTGTTTCGCTTCTTCTCTGTCACATAGAGAGAACAGTGTATCAGTTATATCTGTATATGTAACCAATATGAGGGGGTAATATCTGGCGATGGGGGTACCAAATGGATATAAATGGATGACTGGGGGTAGCCCTATGACTTAGGAAACCTCCATATTAGAGTATTCTGTGGATCTTAGTGGTGACCAGTGCAAGCATCATGAGCAGCTTGGAGTCGCTTGCAGTTCCGCTGAGTGAGTATATGTCGCCACAGTTAGGGGGTTTACATCTCAACTTCTGACGGGTATTTTTTCGCCATCACCCCAGTTCTTCAAAATCATATATATATATATATATCCATATATGTATATATCATTTGTTTTGCTAAACCGGGTTTATTTGTTGGTTAATTCCAAATGCTTGGTGGAGGAAAGAGATGATACACAACTATCATTCGGGACTCACAGTGTATTAGTCCTCACTACTTGGTGTTCCATAGGAAGTGGTTTATAACAGTTTATAACCCAGCTATACAGTAAGTAAGGTAAGATTAAGATATCCATTCATTGCCCCAATTGTTCAAAGTCATCCTCCAATTTTCTTATTAAACCTTTTTGGTTTATTGGTGAGCTCATGTTTTTTGGTGGTGAGTTGGTTTCAATCTCCATCAAATGATGGTGAAGTTGGTCAGTTTTTTCGGTGAAGTCCCATTTTTTCTGTTGCGAAAAATTCACCGACCAAATCATCAATTTGAGTAAGATTAGGATAAAATGGATAACTTCATCCAATAAAAAAACATGGTTTTTATCATTCATTAAATCATATGAAAAATCATCAACTTGCTAAACTTCACCATGAAATTTTTACCATCCAGCGGGGATCCCATCTGTGCGTCCAGGGCGATGGAGAACTATGCTGTGATGACAGCAGATCCATCTGTGGATCTGCTGTTTGGGCCTTGCTTGGGCACTTGGAACGTGACTCGGTGAGGAGGAGGGAAATTACCCGTGACAGATATTTTTTTTTTTGGCCCAACTCGCGATGTGACATTATTTTTGATGGGTTTAAAAACTACGATAACCAACTATAGTTATAGATAGTTATAGGAGGTGTCGTTCATTCCATAAAAATAACTGTTAGTTGGGCCATAACTGGAGGATTCCAGCCGGGGTACCCCCAGTTATCAGTGTGTCAAGCTCCTGATGGAGGCATCCCCAAGGCTCTCACTTCGAAACGGGCCGAACTATTCAGGTTAGTGGCATATTACAATTTACCCAGATAAATGTTGAATCAATCAACAAAAATCTATGGTACGAAGCCAATTACTAGGAATGATATCCCACTGTTATCTTAGTAGTTCCATTATATCCCCATGTTTGTTAGAACTTAAACCAACCAACCATTTTCATGAAACTAACAACAAGACTCCACCAGAAAGCCACCGGTTTCCGCACCCGTTTTGAGGCGTATGCAGCGAATGTGGTTACTGCCGGCAACAAGGTCCTGGTGCAGTGGCTACTCGCACAGATTTCTCAGGGATTCAACCGAAAAATCTGGGTCCTTGGTTACATACAATGTGAGGCCCCCCAGGTATAAGTTGGTTAACAAAAGCCCCAGTAACTATAGTTATAAGTACCAGAAACCATAGTTATTGGAGTTATGTTCACCAATTTAGCTATCTTGGGAGCCTCACATTGTACTTTAGTACTTGAATCTTTTGCTATCAGTGGTAAAATCATGCAATGGGTGTACTACAGTAACCGGCTAAAACATGTTTTCTTTTGCCAGCTATCTAAGATTCACCAAACAAATGGTGATTTAAGCAGTCACCATGAGGGATTAGGGGTATAAACCTTCGAGAAATAGTGGGTACAATGAGATATTCTACCCTCTGGTAAACTAACATAACTATGGAAAATCACCATTTTTAATGGGAAAACACACTATAAATGGCCATTTTCAATAGCTATTTTGACATAACCAGAGGGTATATGCTGAGTACACGTCACGCTTGTTGTGGTTGCTCGTGAGCAATAAGCCTTCAATAAGCACTCTTTATTTGAGGGCGTCACCATTGGGGGTGCATCCACAGTGGTAGCGTTTGGTGATCAGACGTGGCAATGGGAGCCCTGGAAATGGAGTTATCAATTGAACACACGTGCCTACACATGTAGACATAACCATTGCCATGCTTGATGAAAAATGTGGGTAGATATGGGGGTGGGCCAATACCTATTACTATCAATTTTAGTGGGATGAACATCCATAAATCCAAGCTATTTTGATGTGAACTACAGGGGTACAAGGTTTTGACACACTGCCATATATCTGCAGTAAAAACCCTATTTAGTCCAGTCATAGATCAACTTAGCTAACGAACTGGGGCACATCCCTGTGGTTTTGCATGGGATGGGACTTACACCCAGAACTGTCCATGGGGCGTTGATGGGTTCTGTCTCTCAAGATTCTAAAAGGACATTTTGAAATACCCTCTGGTAATTTAACGTAGCCATGGAAAATCACCATTTTTAATAGGTGAACCATCTATAAATGGGCCATTTTCCATGGCTATGTTAAATAACCAGAGGGCACCTCTTCACACTTTTTTATTCACATCCAAGTCATCCAAGTTTCAATGTTTTGGATTGTTTTGGGGCTTGATTGATTCACAAGCACGGAAATGGAGCGAAGATACATGCTCCTCTGGAAGCCTTCGATGGAAAGAGGTGAATCAATCGCGGCAACCAACTGGAGCAACTGGACATCACCAATTTTCGTGATGCGAAGAAGAGCGTTATCGAACATAGGCAGCTGCTGGGGGGTATCCTATGGCTGGAACAGTAACATCCACCATTGAGTTCGAAGATTTTCTCAGCTATAAATTTGTAAACCTCCATTTAGATGATTTTCCAGCCACTTTTGCTCTCCATTCTTCGTTTTAGTTCCGGCAATTCTAAAAAGCACCAAACGAAAAGCGCGACGCGCTGGTCGTTGGTTGTACGGGTCCTCTTTGTGGTCTGCAAGACGGGCGCCAGGTCATTAGCCAAGTTGACGCACAGTTCACTAGGTTAAATATATATATATAATATATATATATATATATATAGGGGATATGGGAGTTTCCATAACCCATAGGATCCATGTATGGTATATATGCTAACATTTGGGGTATATTAATGGTAAATGTTACCATATATGGCATACATGGATCCTATGGGAAATGGGGGGTATCCAAAAATGGCTGGTTTGGAAAATGCCATCTATAAATGCATGAGAACTGGGGGTAGCCCACTCAGGAAAGCACCCAGGTTTTGCCAAGAACGGGGGCCATGCTTGGGGATCACCTGGGGATCCACATACAAAAAAATGTCACAAGAAAAATTACCCACAACCAGTGTATGGCTGCAAGTTTCTTGTACATATCGTTCATATGAACACAATAAGATTCATATGAACACAATATGAATATGTTCATATGATTTGCGTAGTTGTTTCTTTCTAGCATCTTGCTTTGAGTACGAATTTCAATCTGTCTATGCCCACGTTATTTGTATTCCAATAATGCTGTCATGGGATTAATAACTCTCCCTTTGAAATCACCCCAGAAATAAACGGGTATCGAAATACATCAGCAGCAGTTTTTAGTATTGCCGAACATAAATAGCCTAATTGGAAACAAATGCATGTGTGTAACAAACTGAATTGCCTAATTGAAAACAAATACTGCTGAGCTAATTGCTAAATTAAAAACGAAGACGAATACCAGAAAGTCCAACCAAAAAAAAGGCCAGCAATCACCTACAGGGGTGGCATACTTTATTCTCGGGGGGGTGATTATTACCTCCAGCGAAGTAGTTGGCTTACTTTACTCAAAAGGGTTTAGCGAAATCCCTTACATACTTTAAGAATGTATCGATAATCTTCAACAAAAAAGTGTTGGGCTATGCACACATGCATATTTATACAGTATACTATAGTTTGGTATATATATATATATAACTATATATACATTGTATGTATACATGTACGAAATACATTACGCTACATTCCATTACGTCATTACACTATATCTTATTATGTCATCAAACTACATTCAACTACACATTTCCTTACATTGCAGACACAATAAGATTCATATGAACACATACATCCTTCTATGTTCACATACTTATCGTTTCAGCTTTCAGTATGGGTCAAACTTGGAGTACTCTAAAAAATTGCATGGTCAAGAACACATATATCTGTGGCATGTTCCATAAGAAATTCTGCTCCATAAACACCATATAATTACACCCCATTACACCACTGAAAAAAATGTGCTTCTACATCCCCTATGAATCGACCATTTGACCATGACACAGATCTATCAATTTCTTATATATATATTTGCCATGAAGCCATGCATTAACCTAGCAAATTTATGCAAATTTGTTCCGAGCCCACCTATGGACCTATGGTGTCGGGCATGGACATCCTTCCATTGTAGGGATATTCCCTGAAATTTGGCCCTGAAATTTAGGCCTTATATTAATGGTAGGTATGGTAGGTACATAGGTACCTCCATTCTATTGCTAATAGCAATTAATTCCATTCATCTACATTATACACTAGTCTATCCATGACTCATGGGATGTTTTGACTCTAAGTCCCATCATATCCCAGCAATATCAAGTCATTATGTACTATATCCCCCTTTATAGTCAGTATATATGTATACATGTACATATATATATATATATATATAATCCGTACATTGTCGTTTTACATTTTCCTGATTCTAGCATTTCTAGGGCATTACACCCCATTGAACCTCATTCCTTCCCATTAAAAATCCGAGGAAATATGATCACATCCCATTAACCCCTATTAAATTTCATTAAATCCCATGAAATTCAGTATCTATACACATATGCCATATGCAATATCCATCCACGCCACCTTCAAACAATTCCCTAGGTCCATCACCTACCAACGCTACATGGGAGGATACAGGAGAGTGGGTAACCAGCCTGAGGTAGAGATGACTCAGCAGGGATATGGTGAACATTGGATAATTTCACCGATTGTGTTCAAAATTTCTGTTGGTTGATGATGAGTTCGGGGATAACAAACTACCCAATATTATGCATGGGGATTATTTCATCATCCAAGACCAATCCCGAAAATCACCAACCAAGATTAAAATAGATTAAATGGAATGACATTTTGGTGTGAATTTTTCACATTCACCGGATATATCTTTTGAGACAGGGATTGACTTGACGGCACCGAGTCAACTCTAAGGGATTATCCCAACTAGACACGAAGGTGAGTTTCTGGTTTTGTTCCGATTTTTATTGGGAGACGGAGCAATCAGCGAATCAGTCGGTGCAGGGTAACTTAAAAAGATCAGTCAGTCACCATTCACAGTTCAACTATGTTCAACTGTTAAGTCTACCGCTTTAAACGGAGTGCTGCACATTTGATTCCTTGCAAGACCGTGCCACAATTGGGGGTGGGTCAAAACCTATTATTATCAATTCTAATGGGATGAACATCCATTTACCAGCTATTTTGGGGTTCACTAGGTACCAGGGTTTTGACCCATAGCCAATTGGGAGACTGCTGATGATGGTGTACAGCTGTGGGCATCTGATGTTGAGTTGTTCGGCTCACCGTGGACGCGCCGCTGGAGCTGGTGGAGCTAGGAGAAGCTGTTGACCGCAAGGAACAGAAGTGGCTTCATGCGAGGTATCCTCTGGTAATTTCTTACATAGCGAACTGGAACATGACCCATTTAGAAATCGTTGATTTACCGAACTTAAAGATGGTGATATTTTCCACTTCGCTATGTAAACGTTTGCCAGAGGGTATACAGATTGATGTGCTGAGTCGGTGATTGGCATTTTCCCATGGGGAAATCCATTGAGACATCTATAGGAAATTTTCACTTGGGGAAGATGGGAAGGGGGTTCCGAAAAAGCAAATCCATAGTTACCCTCTGGTTATGACTAACATAACCATGGTATAGATGGCCCTAATCGAAATAGATGCTTTACCGTTCTTAAAAAAACGGTGGATCTTTCCATGGCAAACTGTGAATGTCATAACCAGATGGTAACAGGGATCACCAGGACTGCGGAATTTTTAGGGAGCCGAAGCCCGTTTTATGGTAAGGCATCCAAAACCATAGCAGCAGTCATCCCTGGATTGGACGGGATGAAAATGGATGAAATATGGAAGTTATATGGGGATGGGTCAAAACCCTGGTACCTAGTGAACCCCAAAATAGCTGGTAAATGGATGTTCATCCCACTAAAAATGTATCTATAGGTATTGACCCATACCCATATACGGCTTTTAAACCACGGATCCTAAGTGGGATGCACCTCTAACTTGGCACCCGAAAAGTCCCAAGCTGAAAGATTTGGTCAAAACTTGGCCATCGGATATGACACTGCATCTCCACTTTGGTAAACCAGCATGCTGCTGCCTGAACCTCATCAGTCTATAACTATTTTTATGTGTATGAAGGAATAATGTGTATATATATGTAATATATATGTATGTATATATATACACATTATATATATACAATAACAACATTTTTTTCATATTTTTTCAAAAACAATATCTTTTAATAGTGTTTATCGCAGCAGGTCCTGAGATCCATGATTGTTTCATGTTGAACTCCCTTCGCAAAATGACTATCAAATAAGCGGGTAGTTTTTCCATGTAGTTTTGCTACTGTATTTTTTGTCGTTACAGACGATCAACCTTGACTTGCAGAAGATGATTTCTTATCTGGTTGGTGGTTTCAAACATTTTGTATTGTCCATTTCATATATGGGGTGTCATCCTTACCAACTGACGAACTCCATCATTTTTCAAGATGGTTATTATGTTATTGCACCAGCAACCAGACTATTATCAACCATCATTAACCATATTAATCATTAATATCAACCATTATTAACCGTATATTAACCACATTTAAATACCTATTATCCAGATGTTTTGCGTGTGAAACTTCTTCCAGGGCTCGTCTTGGATCAGGTGTCGATCCCATGATTCACCCCCACGAATTCCATTTATGGAGACCCCAGGGAAAACTCATGAAAACCACTTAAAATCCATTAGATAATGAGTTTTAACATCTGTGTTTAATATTAAAACTATTAGAGATATACCAGAAAAAACATGTAGAATCCGATAAAAAAAGAACAATTCTGGTCAAGAACAAATCGCACACCGGGCACAGGACAGAAGTTTGTCCTTACTGCAACTACAAGTGGTTTCGCGAAACCGATTGGGTCGACTCGCAGACTCTTGGCGTGTTGCAACAGATTCATAGCATGGGGATTCAACCCACAAATTGATGGGAAATTCTAGTTGATTTATGATTAACCGATGGCTATCATATATATATATCTATAGATTAAGACCTAGTTGATTTATACAATCAACTCTCAATCTATGGGCAATATACCTACAATAAACCAATTTCAACCAAAGTTGGTTTCCAACTAGATCAACTTTGGTTTACTGTAGGTTTATTCATAGTTTGATGGGCTCATCTGTCACCAACTTATAGCAGGTGGGGCGATGTTGTACGCAACATGAGTCAAGTGATCAAGTAGCCTGAAATGAAATGGATTTGTCAATCCTGCCTGAAATGACTTGGGATGGAGAAAATCACCAAAAAGTAAAGGCATGTTTTTTTTTTGGGTATATCGGTATATCACATATCCTGTCAAACCCTGCCGATGTGGGAGGAAGCAAACGCAGAACAGAGATGGCAATTGTTCCAGCTTGCTTTATCCCGTGGATTTCAATGGATTGGTTGAAGGGAAAATCCCTAACTTTTTCGTTTGTTCCTGCATTTTTCCCTTGAACCATGTCTGGGTTGGAATATCCTGAATCAGTTCATAGGCCGACACACAGCATGGACATTTTTCAACAGAAATCTCCATGGAAGCACCACAGTCAGGATCTAGCCGACAAAAGTTGCAACAGTAGGATTCCAACGGATCTTTGATTGGAGAATCCAACAAAAATGAAAGGTACTCCATGAAACATGTTCCCTCCAAACCCCACGTTCGCCCACACCCAAATAACACACCCAAGCAATATCATATACTTGTCACCAGAGGATGAATGAAAACACTGGCTATACGCAGCGCTTTGGACTTTAGGGTTTGGATTTAGGGTTTTAATTTAGGGTTTAGGCTTTTAGGCCTTAGGATTTTAGGGATTTAGTTTTTTTTTGTTTTGGAAAGCAAAAAACGCTAGCCCTACGCAGGGATTTGAGCATGTCAAACGATATGCGGGATCCGATGCGGGCAAACGTGGGGTTTGCAGCGAACATGTTGCACTTATTTAAACATGTTCTACTGTAATCCATGTTCCTTGAAGAAATTTGTACCATCCCAGTGTTCCATTTGTATTGGTTTCTTTTTATGAGAAATGGGATCACATTTCGATATTTCGGAAGCGCTTAGCAGTGGAAACAGAAAGTCCAGCAAATATCAGCAAATGTTCACCATGTCCATCATAGACATGCTGTATATCTGTACGACATGAGTTTAGATTGACCCAAAAAATATCTCTTTTCGGATATCTTGTTTGTTGATTTGACCAGTTGTTTAACACGCCATCGATGAAAGAACATAACATGACATAGATTTTTAACATGTCAAACGCGTTCTATGTTTTTTTTTTTGCTGCATACCTGTACATGTATAGACCATTATAGACCAGTTCATAGTGTATGCTAACATATGTTGGAAAACCTCTATTTGTTTGGTTACTGATGGTGAATGGGTTTATTTTTTGCCGTGCATTGCCGTGCATATATGGAATCCAGCAATGCAGCAAAACAACATCCTGCTTTTAGAATGCATCCAAGGCTGGCTATACCCATGGAAGTCGGATATATTCAATGGCGATCACACACATATATATATAGATATGTATATATATATATTATAGGCACTTATATATATATATAAAGTGATAAACCCAATAATAAAACATCCTCAATATATATATATATATGCTACCCCCCCCTGATACCCACCTTGAGCGGCCTGCATGCGTGCAGAGCGAGCATTGACATGAATATGTTGAAGACATTTGCCAGCAGATGATGGATCAGGAAGGACATGAGAATCAGATTATTGAAGCAGATGATTGAAGCAAATAGGCGTGAAATTTACATAGGAAGCCCACAGATATGCGATGGCAGCAAAGTCAAGAAGGTTAGAACACAGCAGAAGGTGCTAGCAGCGACGCGCTGATTCTTTTGAACTCTGCCCCGCTGTGGTGGCTGGGCTCTCTAGGCCTTCAACAAGAACCACTGAACAAGAGAACCCGTTGCCAACCACAGATCGTGCCCCCTATGCCAGTACTCATACTGAGCAGAGCGCAAACGGATGCGCAGAAGACTGCTGCCAACTTTGCAGTTCTGGTTGATGTTCAACCGGTCTTTGAGGAAACGCCAGCATCTGTCAATGATCTGGGTGCCCTTTTTGACACTGATTGCCTTCTTGCTGCCGGGGAGGACATGCTTGTGCAACTCCACATACTTTGGAGTGAGCCATTTCCATTCTCCATTGACTTTCACCCGCTTCTTTTTGTGGATGACCCGGTCATGGAGGACACCCTTGACTTTGATGGCATAACTTTTTGCCGAGTCGGTGTGGAGAATAATGTCACGGTGTTGAAGCCATTTCACAGCCAATGGTTGCCATTCAACTTTTCGAATAGCACCGGGGCCTGGAGCGCGAAGTTTGGAGATGACTGGCTTCAAGCGATGGAGGACAAGCGTCTGAGGTTTACCTCTTTGGACAATGCCGCACCGCTGCTCCCAGTGCAGCTGTCCATTCACGACCTTCTTGTCAAACGTGGCTTCATCGGCTTCCACGTCCTGCCATTTTCCACCTTGCCCAAATTTGATGTCCTTCTCCTTGTTCCTGACCCACCTTTCACGTAGCTGGCCTAATCTCTTCTCCATATCCTCAATGCTCTTATGGTTCACATGCAGGAGGCGATGGATGGTGGGGTGGGAAACACGGTTGAGCAGGAGCATCAGTAAACATGCCTGGGTGGCAAGCGGTGTAGAAGAAGAGCCCCAATGATCCACAAAAATGGGGTGAGCATGATGCGGGTTGATGTAGGTGTGGCATTTCTTGGCACTGCATCTATGCTTTAGTAAACCTCCAAGTTGTTGAAGGCCACCAAGGGTGCCACGGCAGCATCGCGGACAGACATGCCCTTCCCATTTATGAAGAAGTCCATCTTCACGAAGCATCTTCACCAAAGTAGATGGAGAGCTTTGCAAAATTTGTGCCAAGGAGCGCTTCCATTTGCAGCGGTCCATGCGAACTTCAGGAACTGCATCAGGGGATCGCACATACTTCACTTGCTTCCATGCCTTGGTCTTCATGCTCGCAGGCCGTTTCAATACAGCACGTAGCTTACCTTTCTTGGGCACGGGAAAGTTGTTGAACTTGGACATGGCAAGGCGCAATTTCGGAGCTAGGCGGAAACCAAACAGCTATAACGAGTGACAAAATTGAATCAGACACTGAATTTGAATGAGCAATTAGGTTTGGTATGGTGCTGGTGGACTTGGAGTGGAATGATTTGCAAGCGCTTGCAAGCATGAGGGTAGACAAACTCAGTTCCGTTGACAAAAGAAGCTGTGGGACAAACTTTTTTCCCCAGATATGATCAATGCGATAGCTGTCTATCCGGAACGACAGCATGTACGCAAGCTATTGCACGTGAAGTACACGCACAATAAATTGGTGAAGCTACAGTAGCTACTCCTAAGCATCAAGAGTGCCTAGCGCATGAGCTGCCTCTTCATCTGCAGCGGTGTCTAGCAGAGCAGCTTCAAAGTCCATCTCATCATTGGTGCCATCCTCCAAGACAGCAGTCTGTGCCTCGGCAGCCTGAGCCAACTCTTCCAGCTCTTGAGACACAGGTGTTGCTTTCCTCCGCACACGGCGGCCAGGATAGACAAATGGACCAACACGACGACCAGAACAATGAGTTCCAATGGGTGGCACAGGACGAGCAGCCAAAGGCACCTGGTCGTCGTCATCCGACGATGGAGAGCCTGGAAGAATGCGGATGTCCTGAGATCGGAACAGTGCATCTTGAATCTTGCCGTTGACGAACTCAATGTAACCCTGGACTTCCTCATACTCTGCCATTGTGTTCATTGCCTGCTCCAGCATCCTTTGCTCTCGACCTACATCAGTATCAAAAGAGGGGCCAGTTTCCATGGAGCCTGCCTTGTACTTGCCATAGAAGGGCTTGTCTTTGTCAGCCAGCAAGTCTTTGTGCAAGTCGTCTACACAGATGCGGTGGATGATGGCCTCCTTATTCTCACTGGGCAAGCGCAAGTATAGAGCCATACCGGTGAAGACGAAGATGATGGAACGTTTCAGAACAGCCAGAACATCTTTTTCCTTCTCCCCGGCAAACAAGTCATCCAGCATGACCAGAAAGCGTCCTGGAGGGAGAGTAGTTCCAATCTTTTGCTCTTCCTCCAAGTCATCTTTCAGATCATTGGAGGCATAGGCCCGCAACTGATTCCTGATGAGGCGGGTATCATTGTAGCGGGACTCAACAGTTCCATCCTCATCCACAGTCAGGAAACTCTTCAAGTCAGCCATGCTCACTTTGGCGCGGCAAGGGTCATCAAGGAACAAGGCTTCTTGAACGCGAGGAGCGCGGTGACGAAAGTTGTCCAAAGACTTGGCCCTACGCCACCCAGGTTTCAAGTTTGTATCACCACTCAGGCGTACATGATACCTTCCCAGGGCCATTGCCAAGATCACAACAAAGGGAGTCTTGCCAACTCCTGGACACCCCAGCAACAACACGCCAAAGTTGAGCATCAAGGGGTAGAGGAGAGGCAAGAGGGCTGAGTGTAAGAAGGGCTTGAGGCTGTAGGTAGTCAAAGGGAACTCTGTCATGCTCACGGCTCCCGCTTGTCCTCGACTTTTGTTCTGGCACATGAGCCGAACCTTTGGCTCGGGCCAGCTGGCAATTGGCGTGCCGGAGTCGGACTTGATGTTTATGAGGATCCACAGGGTCTGCTCATTTTGTGCGTCACACTCTGGTGCATGCGCGTTGATGAACAGAACGCCTTCCTCAAGTTCAGCATTTGATGGGGACCATGAAGGTTTTGGTGGAGCACTGTCTGCAGTCTTCTCTTCTAAGACATGCCAGCGGAGCTGATAACCACCAAGTTGACCTAGAAGCCATTGTGTGGCTTTCTTCACTTTCCATGGGCCTGCTCGATGGACAGGTAAGTGCATTTTGCCACTGCAGAAAGAACTTTTTTTCAACCTTTAAATCTTTGAATCTTTGAATCTTTGAATTTTGGGGGCTTCGATTCAAAGAACTTCTTTTCAACCTTTGAATCTTTGAATCTTTGAATCTGGGGTCTGGGGCTTGGATTCAAAGAACTTCTTTTCAACCTTTGAATCTTTGAATCTTTGAATCTTTGAATTTTGGGGGCTTCGATTCAAAGAACTTCTTTTCAACCTTTGAATCTTTGAATCTTTGAATCTTTGAATTTGGGGTCTGGAAATTGCAAAAATTGCAATTTTTCTCTGTGTGCAATTTGCCTAAGTACCCAAATTATTTAACCACATAGTACCAAGTGACGTGCAAGTGTATATATATATATATGTATACATATATATATACATACATTTATTTATATATATATATATATATATATACATACATTTTTTACATACATACACAGTAGATCATTAAAAACCTACTTCTTGAATCAATGTGAGGTGGGTATCAGGGGGGGGGGTACCATATATATATATAGAACTCTCATGACACTCAAATGGTTGATTACTAGGATGGTCTATAATTGGGTTTATCAAACTATATGATAATTATACCGTATAATTTAGATACTGAACCTATTAATACGTAAGCCACTGGGTTGGGGTACATTCCCTCGACATTGGCATAGCCGTCACGTAGCTAACGTACATCCAGTTTAGGTACCTACTACATCAACCCCACATGAATTCCCGGAAAACCTCAGTTCCTTAGCTTATTTTTGTCAATTGAACACCCCAGATTTATTCCTTACATGCTCATTTTTTGCCCATTGATCAATGTTTTCTGGGAAGATGATGCCAGAATTTCACAAGACAAGACTTGTGATTTTCCGTTGCCATCTCAAGTTACCAGAGTTCCAAGCTCTAGCTGGGGAAATCCTTGTTTTTACTGGTGCTAAACGCAGGGAATGAGGGAATGATCCATAATCACTAGTAATAATCATCCCAACAAACCCCATTCCCATCCATTCCTTGCGTTTAGCACCAGTAAGTTTACGTATGTTTCCAAACTTCCAAACCCTCGCACAGTCGCACAACGACTTAGGAGTTATGGCAACCAAACGGATTTTCTCTTCTCGCGGCGAAGCGTCTCCATTCCCGCAGGCGAACCCGAGATCATTTTTGAGATCGGCAAAAATGGTGCGTACCCTGCCGTAAATCAACATCCGGTAGCAACAAAATGGAAGTTTTATAGTTCGCTGATTTATGAAAATTTAACTGTCAAGAATTGTGGGTTTCCATCGCTATTATTTTAAATTACCTATAGACTAAGGGAAATGATGCCCAGAACCGGCTTATTTCTGATTAGGATGCCGAAGAGACCTCAAGCACCTGGAAGGTATGGGGGGACCCATCGCCGATTTTCTTTTCCATCCTGAAAACACTGCCGTCGGCAATTTTTTTGAGGGTTACTATCTATATATATATATGTCTACAGTTCTGGCCCTTTAGCAGTAATTCTTCAGTGATAATCCCATGGAATGATCACCCCATAACCATAAAAATAACTGGTTAACATGGCTTAGACTGTGCCATCAGTTTGGCCAGGCCCCTTTTTTTTGGAGACAGGGGCATAGAGATCAACTGAGCCATGAACTGGACTTAAGGGATTTACCCTCTGGTTATGTCAACAGTTTGCTATTGAAAATGGTGATTTCTAGTGGACTTACCCAGCTATAAAATGGTGATTTTCCATAGTTATGTTAGTTTACCAGAGGGTAACCATGGGTGATAGTGGTTTGATTAGTCATTCAACACCACGGGCTTACTATTCAACTGGCTTAGTCTTCAATGAGATTACCTTAACATCCTGATATTCCTGAATATCAAGAAAACTTCCGAAACACCACCCACAATATTCAACAATCTTCCAAAACATTCAATAACTTTCCAACACATTTCAAAAAAGCCACAACATTCCAGACAATTCCAAAGAAACACTAGCCCAATAGGACCAAATCATTCCAAAAAAAACAAAATTCTTCCAAATCATTCCAAACAAATGCCAAAATAAATGAATCATTCCAAAAAATCCAAATCATTCCCAACAAAAACAAAAACAAACAAACAAATCCAAATCACTCAGAAAAACACCAAAACATACCAAACTCATATCAGGATTTGAAGTTCTTGGAATGTTTTTGAATGATAGTCTGACATCAGAACATGGATTTTCCATACTATCCCTATATTCATGGTGCCTCTATCCTTTCCCCGGGATAATAGGGTATTTTTCATGGCACTGATGGGAAACTTCTTATTGAAGTTTGGTGTCTATGGTCGCTTTCAAATGCTCAAAGATTTGCACTATATATACTCATATTTACCGCACTGACCTATATTTTGCCAAATGTATGCGCAAGTACACAGTATATACAGCATACATATAATATAATATATATATACACACACACCTTTCCCAATATATCCCCATTATACACATCATGCCCACATGCCCCCGTTCACGCTTCCTGGCGAGAGGAAATAACACCGTCACCAATCCAGACCTGGAAACTGAGCGGCAACAACTTCGCTGCGATTATCCCCGGTTAGTTGATGATTGTAGGAGTTCATATGGGGTTTTCCATAGATCTGTGTAAACCAACCATACTATGGGATAATGGTAGTATAATGGAAAAATATATAGCCAACAACAATCAACAATCAGCCGTATTATAGATCTGTGTAAATTATAACGACCGAAGCCTGTTCTCCCGAACCCTGGAATAATGGTTTATTTTAGGGAAATCAACCCCAAATGGCTGAACAATTCAGGTTAGTGAAATATTACAATTTACCCAGATAAATGTATGGTTTATAATGGATGGTTTATTTCATGGAAAATCATATCATGGATGGTTCATGATTGTCGGAGTTCATATTGTCGGAGTAAATGGGGGATCCCCAATAGCTGGATGGTTTATTTCATGGAACATCCGAAAATAAAATGGATGATGTAGTGGTGCCCCCATTTCAGGAAACATTCATATCATCCAAGTACCCTCTGGTAAACTAACATAACTATGGAACGTCACAATTTTTCATTGGAAAATCCACTATAAATGGCAATTTTCAATAGCTATGTTAAATTACCAGAGGGTATCTCAGAGCCTCCACGTGTTTTTTTTGTTTCTCATCATAAACTATAACCAACCACTATAGTTGAATGATGTTGTGGTTTTGAACACTGCTCATGTTGGGGTCAATTCATTTGGGGCCACCTACTATGTTCTACATCAGCTTAACATGACGTTTTTGCATCGTTCAGAAGTATCGTTGTACATCAATATCAGTAATGCATCCTCAATAGTGTACCAATTAATAGTGCTGGTCATACAGTTCATCCATTGTCCACAGCTTTCATTAAGATATCGCTACTTCATTTGTTTCTACCCTCTGGTAATTTAACGTAGCTATTGAACATGGCCATTTATAGTTGATCTACCCATACAAAATGGTGATTTTCCATAGTTTTTTGAATGTTTACCAGAGGGTACACCATGGATGGTTGGTGGATGGGCCAGGGTTTGTCTGAAAAGTGAAAGGTACCCCAAAATCCCATGGTGAAACTCATCATGTCCCCCTTTACAAGCCATGGCCATGTGTGAGAAAAAAAGCCCAATTTTCAGACACAATCATATCACATATCTATAACATTTCCAATAGCACCACTTGGAAGTACGGTTCTAGTTTTAAGTGGATATATATATAAACATTATATAACTGTAGTTATAGGGGCCCCATATCCCAACTTATGTTCTATATGTTCAACCCTAGTTGGGCAGCTTTCTGCCGTTGTGTCGTGTTGTTTCCAAAATGGCAAAGGGCAAATCCCTACTTTGCTAGTGATCTCCTATTCCGAGCCGAAAATGAGATGTCCATCAAATTTAAGGATAGTCTTGCATATATCTTCATATATCTTCCTATTTTAGTTGGTGAACTCACCATTGCGATAGGCTAAATCCCGACTTTTTGTGAATGTCTGTCGGATACTTCGACCTTTTTGGTCGGTGAGGTGCCCATATTGATTGGCTAATCTTATTCATCCAACGCCCTTTTCTGGATATCCAAAACCCTTCCCGCCTATATTCAATACACAGAAACCCTGGTTAAGTATTGGATGTGTTCATTCTGGGGGCCCGTGTGACTTGTAAGTACTTGATATTTGGGGGTACGGGATATTCTATAGATTCTATAGATAGTAAGATTCTGCATTTCGTCAACTCCACAGTTTGGTATGGCACACATTAGTCCATTCTCTCAGCTCGCGTGGCGAGCTCCCCCATTGTTGCTATTCGCCACAAAATGGGTTTAAATTCCATTCATTTGTTGCTTCAATATAATTAAAGTTTCCATCAATAGCATCAAACAGCTGCATAAAATGGTTTTCTACCATCAAACTCCTGAAGAATCAATGTATATATGTTTAGATCAATTACATACCACCCATAGATTGTCGGAGCTTTCTGAGTTTTGCTGATTTGATTTGTCAAGTCTGCACTTTCACATGCTGTTGTTTAGCGTATACACTTATAGAATATCTCATTACTAATACATATATATATATAAATAAATATATATATATAATAGATATTCCCTTACATTCCCCATTTCTTGGTCAGATGAATTCCCATTGACTGAACTATACTAACCCATTTCTTGGTCCAGTTGATCTCTGGCTGAATCAACCGAACGAACGAACGTCCGGCACGCCGAAGCCTGGAAATCCATGTTTTTTTTAGAGGTTTTTATATGTTTTATAAGGGGAATCATCCCAAAATGGCCGAAAATCCATGGGTTTTTATAAGGGGAATCCCCATTTTGGCCGAAGTTTTCAGATTTTTCAGGTTAGTGAATTATGATAAGTTCCCACCATTGTAACAATTCTAGTTCATAAATTTGTTGGACTCCTTTCTTCAAATCACAGAATTTGTTCATGTTCGCCCAGGAATTCGACTGGGAGCGCAACAACAGGATTGCCTTAACCAACAGCATTTATTACGCCTTGTGGGGAATCAAGACCGCAGTTGAAGCCGAGGTGCAACTAAGTAATGTGGTGTGGTTGCTGGCCATATTTTTGGGATATTTTGGGAGGGTTTATTGAATGATATAATTGGGATCCAAAAAATAAACCTTGGGTGATCAATTGTGTAGATTCTAGTGTAGATATAAACCTAAACATTCCTTGGGGATAACGGAAATGCTGGAAGACATTGTCGAAGGAATTCGATTGAACTGGTTGAACAAGGTGAAAACCAGTTACAAGTTGGTTTATAAGCACCATTTAGTTTTAAGTTCTAAGTGCCATAATTCCCAGAAAAAAAAAACAATTTCTACACCAACTTCGCTCAGGAATCCTCGAGCCCCACTTTGTAGCTATTCATTGGTAGATCAACATTATTCGTTGATTTTAGCTAGTTCGATATATCCAGAAAATAAATCCATCTATTTGTCCAGTCTTGTTAGCCAACCAGAGCGAGGTTGTCGACTACGTGTTTGCGCAGGTCGCGCACAATCTCTTTGCTTGTAGAAGCACGTTTGGCGCAGATGCTCATCAACTGTACTTGGCTGCTTATTTGTTCGAGTGGAGAATGGGCAAAAAGTGTCACAAAATTGCGGGACGCGACGTTGCTGAAGAGTGGTTGCATCATCTGGCACGAATTGGGATCTGATTCTGGGGCTGGGCTGGCCACGGCCATGGTCATGGATTCGCTCTGCACAGTGATCTATCGGACACCAACGCTGACACGGATTCCATTTCATTTCTTTCATTTAAGGAATTTAAAGGACACCTATCATTTCAGTGCCCCATGTTTGGAAGATAGTTAGTCATTACATCAGCATGTTTGATGTTTCATGTCTTTTTTTTGTGGTCAAACCCATCATTATCCTTGAGTTGCTGAAGATGTTGTTTATTTTCCCAACAGGGAAAAATAGCAGAAATGGGGAATCTATAGAGAATATGTTGTTCAAATTTATTGTTCGGGGTTCCTTAATCAAATCCAAGTTATAATGGCCGTCATAATAACCCCTCGAGTGCTACACGAAAATCACTCGCGACTGAAGTGTTATCAAAGCTACTCATTGTTGGGCAACTTGAACCGGGATCCACAAAGTTGGAAACATATCGGGGCGTTTGGTACTAGGATGATGGAATTTGGATGTAATTGGAATTAATGGGATAGTGGGAACGTAGTGAGATAATCATGATGAAGAATAATGAGGTAACAATCAAATTATAATGAGATAATGATGAGATAACATTGCGACAATGATGAGATATAAATGGGATGAAATCGTTAGATAAGAATCTCCAGGAACCGTAAGTGGTTTACAACCCATGAGGTCATAGCCTATGAATCACTAATCCAACTCAGGAGATTCCATCGATCTATGCATATATAGATATACTCACACCTGCATATATATATGTATATATATAATATGTATACAACTGGGTTCCCTTTAATATCTTAATTGCCCCACATTCCAACCTGATTCCCCCACACATTTGGGCGTTTTACATTCTGAAACACCAAACATGGATTCATAACCAGCCAAACAGATGGGTCCTTCCCAAAAAAACATCCACAAAAACATGATGACATCTCTGTGAAGTGGTGCCCCCAAGTTATAAGTTGGTTATAACCCCTGTTAACTAGTTCGATAAATTTACCTTGACCCCAGCAATTAGCCTAGTACGAAACCAACTTAACGATTATAATTCAACTAGAATTTCCCATTGTTGTTAGAGTACGTTGCATCCGCATGATCATCCAAATATTTTCTTGGTTAAATGTCACCATATCCCCATGTTTCATACCACCATTGTTGTTGCTTAAATCCATTGGGAACCCCTGAGGATAGATGGTTCATAATTACTCAACATGGACGAAAATCGCCCCCCCTGTCAATGGCCATTTCAGGATCCTAAATTGGAGGTACCTACCATATATAAGGCCTATGTAAGGGGATATCCCCCAAAAATATGGCCTTATATGGTACAATACCTCCATTTTATTATATACTATATATCATATACTATCATATACTATCATATACTATCAGATACTATCATATACTATCATATACTATCATATACCATCATATACTATCATATACTATCATATACTATCATATACTATCATATACTATCATATACTATCATATACTATCATATACTATCATATACTATCATATACTATCATATACCATCATATACTATTATATACTATTATATACTATCATATACTATTATATACTATTAGGATCCTGGAATTCCCATTGACTCCTGGGTCTTAAGAATTCGACGAGTTCGACTTCCGCAGTTGGAGCCTGGACGTGATGCTGTGTGGACCTTTGCCTATTTTGAGGACATGTACTCAGTGCCTTTGGAGCGAGTTTCCGTGGGGTTGGATGTCCCGCGAAGCGGATCCGTGGTTTATAATCCATATATAACTATATATAACACATATTGTATCCCCATTCTTATATATATATATTATATAATATATGATAATATATGTATAAGTGGGGATGTTCCATCAATCACACAACCGGGGTATAACCCGGTTACTTTAAGTGTGACCCCCAAGTAGATTGGCATCCCGGAAATGGGAACGCTCAGAATGATAGGGATAACAGTTTCAGAGAAATAGTCGTGTAGCATATTACTCGGGAGGATATTATACTTAGGGAAATGATAGGGAAATTATAGGGACATATTACTTGATTAAAGTTTGATAATAGGGAGATGATAGGGATAATTTACTTGTAATCATAGTGAAACAATAAAGGAATCATGTTGGAATAATGGAATAATGGATTGTAGAATGAGATGGCAGTGTCATAAGTTGATGACAAATTGGCGGGATATCAATTTTCCAATATAGAGTCTAGAGATTAATGATATCCACTTGGGATATTATATTTAATATATTTCATGGTGCTTTAATTAGTTGGGCTCCTCTGGGGATGTGGATTTGCAGCGTTGAGGATTTTTCAACATTAACCATTTTCACTCTGATCATTTAAACAAAAAAAAACTGGCAAATTCAGGGGGATTATAAGTACCCTCTGGTAAACATACAAAAAACTATGGAAAATCACCATTTTTGATGGGAAAACTCACTATGAATGGCCATTTTCAATAGCTATGTTAAATTACCAAAGGGTAAGGTATCTGGATGCGACAGGGGACCACATTTCCAAGTACCAGAAACCTATTTTTTCTAACTTAATATCTGCCGGTTATCCCGCATAGACCTGAGTTATATGGGTTTGTCTGAAAATGTCGTGTACCCCTAAACCCAATGGTTTTGCTGATCATTATCCCTACTAAATGGCTATTAAATTGGGAATATACCCTATTTTCAGACATACCCATATGTTGTGATGTGGTTGACCACTATTGTGATTCTTGGGATGCACATCCAGACGCACGACTAAGATATCTTAAGATATCTTAAGATGGCTCAGGGGTCGGTGGAGTGGTGCAAAGTCATGTGTGCTTATTGTTTGTTTCTAGTGAATGTTTGTGATTATTGTTACATATTGTTACGTTTGGTTTTTATTAGGCCTTTGTTTGTTTGTTTGTTTGTTTGTTTGTTTCTGTTCATAACTGGAACTGCACTTCCATTATGTCCAAATGGGTATCCATGGGATAAACTGCACTTTATATATTATTTTAATGGGATATAAATGATATATATATATATGTATATATATATATGGGTATGTTTTCATGGACTATTTAATGGGATATAAATGCACTTTATTATTCTAATGGGATATAAATGACATACTAGAATATATATATATATATACATATATATATGTGGGTATCTCGTTGCTTTTGGACAAGGCCGTGTCAGAAACCTTCTTTTCTATGAGAAATCTGTGGGAATCGAACCCGAGAAGCTCCACTTTGGGGCGATTCGGGGTCCCCAATGATGTGGCCATGGTCATCATCCTGCATCTTCAACCCTCCTGCTACCCACATGGAGCCCCAGCTGAAGCTCATCGTGAAGGACTCCTTGAAGGTCTTCTGGGCGTCCACGGCGGTGAGGACGAAGAAGGCAGCCCCTCTCGTGAGGGCTGCGGAACACGCCCCCAGGATGTTCAGGGACACGACGATGCCGCAGGGCGGCGTTGAGCTGACCGGGGTGTTCGGCTTTCACTTGGACATCTACACCACGCAGTCCAACGACACTTACCCTTGGGTAATGCCGGACTTGTCGATTTACCTGTACCTGTCCCCTGCGGCAGGCATCTCGGCGGACAACCAGGCGGACGCCCACGGGGTCGATGCCCAGACGAACCGCATTGGGTCGACCCCCTTGACCTTCGAGGGGGGTCAAGTCCTACTTGCACGCCGTCCGCGCGGCGCTGGGGGAAACCTTAAACCAACCCTAAAACCAACCCTTAATAGACCCCAATACATCTTGAAACAACCCTGAACCAACCCCAAAGAAACCATGTCACTTTGATGGCCCACGAGGCACGCCGCAGGGCAGTCACCCCTCGCCCCCACTGGGGCTGTGGAGGGTGACTGACTCCGACGTGGGGGGTGATTGACTCACTGTGGTCTGACGCTGCTAGTGGGTGACCGATTCCGTCTGGTCTCCTCCAGCAGTCCCCAACGCAACCTGCCTTCATCCCATCGATGATGTTGGCACCAATGGGAACTGTGGACCTTGGGGGCAAGTAGACAAAATATTCAAACAGCACAAGCTTCTGCCAGCAACGTTTCAACTTCGAAACGGATTGCGACGCTTCTCCAACTGCAAACGTGGCTGCCACGTGTTCCTCCAGGTTTCACTGTTCAACCACCTTGCCAAGACCCTCATTGTAGAGGGAGGAATCTCATTTCACGAGTAGGATTTTTCTAGGTTCCCGAACATCACTTCAACACCTCCAGCAATGCCTTGCTGAGAACTGCGTCCGACAGATTGGATCCAAGAGGGAAGCTCCGCTAGTACAGCTGACTTGATAATATAATATAATATATATATAATATAAATATCTATTTGACAAATCTTACTTACACGTATAAATCAAATCTGCAAGCCCATACATGGCACGCACTCTCTTCCCACCAAGATCTGCTGCCACAGTACAGCAGTCATGGACGCCACTCATCACTGCTTGCGCTGCAGCATGAACGGCCTGAAATGAAAATGTCGGTTTTTGAGACAATTTGAACAGGTGCTTTATCAATCACAGCCCCGACGGCCCAACCGCAACCAGGTCACATTATCAGTCCTCCCAAGTCCTAAGTCATCCTAAGTCATCCTAAGTCCGGGAAAGCTGAGCCTGAAAATACACTATTGATAGGTGATTTTCCTATTGAAACCCCAATTTCGAGTGGATTTCCAATTGCCACGTTTGATTACCGGAGGGTAATCAAACATGGCAATGAACAAAATCACTCATTTATGAAGGATTTTCCAATTGAAGCCTCCATTTATAGGGGGTTTCCCAGCTAGCCATGTGCACCTGGTCCTAACCTACTTGGATGGTCCCATGGTTATCCTGGTCCCATGGTTATCCGTGATGATCTCCATGTAATATGGGCTGTGAAACACAGCTTGCTGGCAGCCATCCACCTGCGTGACCTCGAAACAACATGAATCAGACTTTCATCAAGGCACTTTCTCTGTTTCTTCGCGGTGAAGTCTATATTTCTGTGCTCCAAAAACGCAGCATCTATCCCAATTATCTTTTTTTTTTGCGTGCTTAAGTCACTCTATGTTTAAATCTCATGGTTAACACCTATATCCCAACTATCGTGTTTTACACCTCAAATCTTCTCACCTTCAAATGTCGACCGCAACCGCCCACTTTTTTCAGGGATTTGGTGGTTACGCCTGCCGCAGCTACAAGGCCATCCATTCTGATCAGGGTCGTCCGTTGTGAATGGCCACCCTGGATTCGGCGAGACTGGCGATCTAATGGGAACCATTTGAGTAGCTGAGATATGCTGAGATCACTTATTTTTCGGGCCTGCACCCTGAGATATGAGTCGATTATAGTCGATTCATATCTACAAATCACGGTTGACATGAGTTTATTCATAGCTATACGTAGCCATACATGTTTTTTTCCGGTACTTTTTGGATCTATTCCGCTTGTGGGAAAGATCCGCTTGGTGATTGATCATGGTTCCGGGTAAGATTCCATTAATCATCCTTTCAAAGGAATGTCCTTCAACCAACATCATAACTGGTTGGTGGTTTGGAACATATGTTATTTTCCATAATATATGGGATAATCCTTCCCATTGACTTTTATTATTTTTCAAGATGGTTAAAACCACCAACCAGTTGGACATGGACTGATACAAACAGGACACGGAGAACACACACACACAGAGATGTATATTATTATGTATTTTATATTTTTTACATATACATATACACATATTCTATATATACATATACACATATTATATATACACATATTACATAATATATATATATATTACATAATGCATATATATATATGCATATTACATATTGCATATATATATATATATATATGTATATATATATATACATGTCAGGCACACTACATGGCAGAACATATGTCACGAAGAATGTCCGATAGAATGTCATATGGTCATAATATATGTCAGAAACAGTGCCAGTTGGTCGGAATCACTCGAAGAAAGTATATACTGTAATATATATATAATAATATATATATATAGATACATATACAAGTGTAATACATATCATATATCATAATATATATATATATACATATCAGAGTCTTGGTAGTGATATCAAGTGATCAAGATCTGCATCAGGATTCCAAAAACGGAAGATTGCTGATTAGATCCCACAGTGGGCTGTTTGGTCATGAGATACTGCCCAAGAATCAATGGGAATTGTGGTGGTATAATGATGTATAATGGAGATACAATGGGTATAGAAATTGGTGGGACTATAATGATAATACCGTTTTATACATCATTATGGAATATAATATACCCAATATACATGGATAATTGTGGGAATATCATGAATATAAGTAGCATATATACAATTATAGCATATAATGATAGTTATATTTCCAGAATTATAGAATATAGTATAATTTCAGGATCCTAAAACGGAGGTACGTTAGTACCATATTTCAGCCAGAAGTTTGTGGGGATATTCCCTGAAATTTAGGCCTTGGATTCTGGCCTTATATCTGGTAGGTACCTCCAATAAATCGGTTCCTGTTGCATGGCCATTGAAAGAATGACCGTGGTTTCAATGATTCACATCACTGTTGGTTAGTTCAGATATGTTCACATGTTTTCTCCATGTTTCTCTACCCTCTGGTAAACAAACAAAAAGCTATTGAAAATTGTCATTTATAGTGAGTTTTCCCATGAAAATGGTGATTTTCCATAGTTATATATGTTAGTTTACCAGAGGGTATTTGTGTGTTGTTGTGGGTCTTACCCTTCTCCAAGTCCTGCTAAATATAGATCTGGTTGAAGGGAACATAAAAAGGATTCCCCCATATTTACTGGTTAAACATTATGGTTTCCTGCATTTTTTCAAGCAACCCAATGATTCCTCTTAATTATTATTGTTCACAGATCATTTTGGTGGGTTTACAAAACCATGTTTTTGAAGGTCACGTTTTCATCTTTATGGCTTGAACATCCGTGTCTATGTTTGGCTGAAGTGACCGTTTAACAGACTCATATTCCCACAAGTTGGTGCCCCCTTTTTTCCCTATAGTATATAATAGAAGAATATTCCCCGAAAAACATGTCAAAAAATCAGAAATTGGATAAGATTCAATTTGTCAATTCACATAGTATCAAGCAATGATGAAACGCGTTTTATATCTTGTGGCAACTTGTGGTTGCTGCTTGTCCTTAAAAGCAGCACCAGATTTTTCTACGCAACCTGGCAGGCAGCTGTCGACAGTTGGGGGAATGCCACCACGACCCTGATTCCATTGAAGGTCGGCAGGGTGAGATTGTCAAGGCCTTTGATTGGGGAAACCCACTGGAAGGCTAAACATAGGCGGTTGAACCACGAAAATCAGGAGAACTGGTTGGTGGTTTGGAACATAATTTTATGACTTTCCATATATTAGGAAGTCCATCATTTTTCAGAGGGGTAGGTCAACCACCAACCAGGGAAACGATGTGGAAATTGCCGGGTCCCCCCACCGAATCTTCCGAATCGACCAGTGAGCCACCCAAGTGACGGGAGAAGAATGGGGAGTAAACACTGAAAAATGCTAGGAATTATGACATGATTTACCCAGATATATTTAGATATAATCAGCAAAAAGAAAGTAAGACCTTCCTAAAGTGGTGGTAAACCACTGTTCTATCTTTTTGGGGGTTGCTGTAATCAATTGAACCTTTCCTATCTTGAACAGGGGGTCTTCTCATAGCTGCAATTTTTTGGCAGTTTTTACGGTGAACATGGCGAGAATCCCTGGAATCACTGAGTTTATCAACGATTCAATGGGTCCCACACATTGAAGGAGGGCCCTAGTAGATGGCCCAAGTAGGCTCAGTTTCAGCACATCCCAATTTACACTTTCGGTGGGCCCCAAGCGATTGTTTTTTTCTCCACTCAACATTCGGATATAACCACTAAACATTCGGATGCAACCGAGAATGAGAACTGATAATTGGTTTATGACTTATGATGGCCAAGTTGGTTTTGATAAATCGATTTTCGCTGTAAATATGAGGGTTTTTAGCCACCAGCGCCTAATGACTGGGCGAATAGCAGTCCTAGGATGCACCAGGCAATGAGATGCTGTGCCTTGATCTCAGGGGTCCAGTGGTTGAGCAAAATATCACCCATTTGAAGGACACAGTGACACACCCATATCAAAAAATATAATTTCCAATACCACTTGGAAGTGCTGTTCCAGTTTTAAGGGGATATATATATATTATGACTATAGTTACAGGATGGCCACTAGGGGCTCCATATCACATTTTTTTTCTTGATCCACTCAGCCTATGGCAGGTCAAGGGACTGGTTTGGAACCCCTTGAGCCTGGACTCGATTAGCCGCTTGGTTGAATAGGCTGACTGAAGGATAAACCACGCGAAAAACCTCACTTATCTAAGTTATCTATATCAATTCATATGTACTTATATATATATATCTATCTACATACATACATAATTATGTATATACACATATAGTGTGTATATTGTGTATATACATACATACATACATACATACATACATACATGCATACATGCATACATGCATACATGCATACATGCATACATGCATACATGCATACATGCATACATGCATACATGCATACATGCATACATGCATACATGCATACATGCATACATGCATACATGCATACATGCATACATGCATACATGCATACATGCATACATGCATACATGCATACATGCATACATGCATACATGCATGCATGCATGCATGCATGCATGCATGCATGCATGCATGCATACATACATACATACATACATACATCATATATATATATATACATACACGTATATATGTATTGATAGATAGTCATGTACATATAAATGAAATCCGTGTACTGTGTACTGTATACGCACCAAAAGCTATCATATTACCGGAAGAGTATATATTGATGGGCTATACCTGTTATATTATATACAGTTTATGTATATATATATGTTATCAAGCAGCAACTGGAACGTATCTAGGTCTACATCATACGGTGTTAGGAGGTGCTAGAGATACTTCCCTCCTTCCTTCCCCAACAGCGAACTCCAGATCGCAGTGGGCACTGCCGGACCTCAACCGCGAGCTCCAGATCTCAGTGGGCACTGCCGGACTTCAGCCAGACGCCAGAGAGAATGTCAGATACAATGCCAGAAAGTATGTCAGAATAGATGCCAGATAGAATGCCAGATAGGATGTCAATGTATATGACAGAAAGAATGTCAGAAAGCATGTCAGATAGAATGTCAGAATAAATATACTTCCAGACGGTATGTCAGAAAATATGTCAGAAAATCGTGTTTCAGGGTGGATCATTTTTCGAAGAAAGCAATTTTTTGAGATGAATTACCCTCTGGTAAATTAACATAGACCCTGAAAATCACCAATTTTTAGTGGAAACGAGCATCTTCCAACCCCGATAACTGCCAGGGTCGAAGTGTTAATTTACTGGAGGGTAACGTATGACATCCAAGTGATATCCATATACTATCCTGCAGGATGGGGCCCCCTAGTTAGAAGTTGGTTTATAAACCATTATAATCCCCATTGACTATAGTTATATCTACCATAAACCATTGTTAAGCCACTTATAAACCAACTTTGCTATCTTGGGGGCCCCATCCTGTGTGTACCATATGTTTATTGTGTACTGGGTCTCTTCATGGGTGACCGAAAATGCTTTTAGTACACCGGTATACCCGTTTCAAACGGCCATTTCATAGGGAAAATGATGATTTATGCTTTGATGGATTTTGGGAATCTCTATTTTCAGACAAGTCGCCTCATCATTTGCATGGTCATTTGCATGTTTTGTTTTTTCACAGCACGTTTGCTGGTATCTATCCAAAATATATCACCAATTTCACGTGCTCAACAAACGCACGTTTAACTTGCTACTATACCGCATTTTTTGTTTCTTTCATTCCGAGCATTGGATGAGACATTTTGGAGGAAGCCGATATTTGATGCTCAAAATTATATCCCATAGGATCCATGGTGCTGGTATATATGCTAACATGGGGTATATTGATGGTACATGTTACCATATATAGCATACATGGATCCTATGGGTATGGTTCCAGGTGGATTTTCCAATCTATGGAACCCGATATTTGTGAACTCCGCGGAGTGACGTGGTGTTACTGGAGGGTAACGTATGACATCCAAGTGATATCCATATACTATCCTGCAGGATGGGGCCCCCTAGTTAGAAGTTGGTTTATAAACCATTATAATCCCCATTAACTATAGTTATATCTACCATAAACCATTGTTAAGCCACTTATAAACCAATTTTGCTATCTTGGGGGCCCCATCCTGTGTGTACCATATGTTTATTGTGTACTGGGTCTCTTCATGGGTGACCGAAAATGCTTTTAGTACACCAGTATACCCGTTTCAAACGGCAATTTCATAGGGAAAATGATGATTTATGCTTTGATGGATTTTGGGAATCTCTATTTTCAGACAAGTCGCCTCATCATTTGCATGGTCATTTGCATGTTTTGTTTTTTCACAGCACGTTTGCTGGTATCTATCCAAAATATATCACCAATTTCACGTGCTCAACAAACGCACGTTTAACTTGCTACTATACCGCATTTTTTGTTTCTTTCATTCCGAGCATTGGATGAGACATTTTGGAGGAAGCCGATATTTGATGCTCAAAATTATATCCCATAGGATCCATGGTGCTGTTATATATGCTAACATGGGGTATATTGATGGTAAATGTTACCATATATAGCATACATGGATCCTATGGGTATGGTTCCAGGTGGATTTTCCAATCTATGGAACCCGATATTTGTGAACTCCGCGGAGTGACGTGGTGTTACTGGAGGGTAACGTATGACATCCAAGTGATATCCATATACTATCCTGCAGGATGGGGCCCCCTAGTTAGAAGTTGGTTTATAAACCATTATAATCCCCATTAACTATAGTTATATCTACCATAAACCATTGTTAAGCCACTTATAAACCAATTTTGCTATCTTGGGGGCCCCATCCTGTGTGTACCATATGTTTATTGTGTACTGGGTCTCTTCATGGGTGACCGAAAATGCTTTTAGTACACCGGTATACCCGTTTCAAACGGCCATTTCATAGGGAAAATGATGATTTATGCTTTGATGGATTTTGGGAATCTCTATTTTCAGACAAGTCGCCTCATCATTTGCATGGTCATTTGCATGTTTTGTTTTTTCACAGCACGTTTGCTGGTATCTATCCAAAATATATCACCAATTTCACGTGCTCAACAAACGCACGTTTAACTTGCTACTATACCGCATTTTTTGTTTCTTTCATTCCGAGCATTGGATGAGACATTTTGGAGGAAGCCAATATTTGATGCTCAAAATTATATCCCATAGGATCCATGGTGCTGGTATATATGCTAACATGGGATATATTGATGGTAAATGTTACCATATATAGCATACATGGATCCTATGGGTATGGTTCCAGGTGGATTTTCCAATCCATGGAACCCGATATTTGTGAACTCCGCGGAGTGACGTGGTGTTGTTTGAGTGACTGAGTGACGGATTCCAGCCATTTCTTTTACCCTGGCATAAAGTAACATAGATGTGGAAAATCCATGGGGAAACCTGAGGAAAATCATCTGCAACTGATATATGTTTTCCACATATATCTTACGTATTGGCGGGTACATTTGTATGAATCACCTCAATCAGTCCTTTTCTGGGTGCGTTCAACTATTTCTTACCATGTTGCATCCCCACAAAAACCAAACAAGTAAGGAATGATGACATGTACTCAGCCTATTTGACACATATTCCTTGGAGGTAGCTCAAGCATCAGCCAGTTTTGGCAAGGTTTCTCCATTCTATTTCACGCATAATGGGGGAACTTGGGTGCTTTTACCCTCCTGTAAACCGACATAGATCTTGAAAATCCACTATTTGTTTATCATATTCCTAGAGAAACCATGCTTTTACTGCTTGGTACTAGAAAATCCACCATTTATATATTCTACCCTCTGGTAAACGTTTACGTAACTATGGAAAATCACAATTTTCAATGGGTAAATCCACTATTAATTACTGGTTTGGAACATGAATTTTATTTTCCATTTCATATATGGGATGTCATCCTTCCCATTGACGAACTCCATCATTTTTCAAGATGGTTATTGCACCACCAAGCAGTTTTTCTGTGTTTCATAGCCCAGGGCACCTCAAAATATTTCGCCACTTTATCAATGGGAATTCCAGGATCCTAAAATGGAGGTACGTTAGTACCATATTTCTGGCCATATTTTGCGGGGATATTCCCTTACATAGGCCTAAAAAATAGGCCTTATATATCCTTATTAATATGGAATCGGTACCTCCGTCCTCAATCGGTTCCTGGCCAGCATGGCCAGTGACTAAAAACCCCGGTGATCTCCGTCTCTGAAGTGATCAAGAGGTGCCGACGTGTTGGTGCTCTGTGGAACATCTTCTTTGCTTGGCGAGTTTCTGGACAGGAAAAGAGGGGCTCTCTTGACCGAGAATAGAAAACCATCATTCACAGGGGATTTCTAGGGCTAGGGTTTTCACTAACATCTGAGGATATTGTATATATAATTATATATATATATATAATGAAATATGAAATATGTAACGAATTCATGATGTTTATCCACATGGGTGTTTCTCAGTGATGGACCCCCAAGTCACCATAGCTTTCAATATTAAGTAATGGGACCTAATGACTTAAATGATTTGGTGGTTCCATGACTTAGGACACATCTAAAAAGTGTTCCACAATAAATGCAGTCACCAGCTATGGTACATGTGTAAACGTTGGATTTTTTTCATACGTGGGTCTTTTGGGATAGTCCAAACAACAGAGAGTTTGTTGGACATCTAATCTTGGGTTAAACACGAGACTTCCTATCAATTATGCACCAATCCACTAAATATCATATGATATTACAGTACACGTGCTGGAAGTGGTGGTTTGAACTGATCGGGTATGACTTACTGCTGACAGAGCAATCATGTACATATATATATATAAGATAGGTATAATTCTGGCACAATCTTTTAGTGAGGTGTTTAGAGATTTCTGTACTGGGTCTAATCATTGCGCGTACATTTTTCAAGTGGCATATTGCATTACCAGTTGGGTAAAAGCCCAGCAGTACTCTTGTGGGGAGCAGGATCAACATAGCTGATGCTTATGGACTTTTATGGACTTTTACCCCTGCAGTATCATTGGTTGTGACCCATCCCCTAATATGGGTATAACTGTAAAACCATACAAAGTGAGGCCCCCAAGATAGCTACAGTAAGTTGGTTTATACAGTAACTCCAAATTCACTATGGTTTATGGTACTTATAACGAACTAGTTCCTGGGGCGAATCTAAACCAACTAACATCACTGGGGGGCCTCACATTGTAGGGATGCAAACAACGGAATATAACCATAGGATGGACAGCCCGTTATGAAGATGATGCCCCGGTCTTTTTTAATCCAATCCCTCATAATCCCTCTGATATTAAATTCCCCAAAATGAATAGATCCAATTCCCCGTGTCGTTTGGGGACACCCCCGTGTCCGAAACCTTGATTTCGTACTGGCCTCGCTTCAGGTAGGTATTTTTCAAGGTAGGTTTTTAGTGCCCCAGACATAGACTTAGTATGACTTAGTTATCTTATAACTCATCTATTTAGGCTTATGAACCAGTATAATGGTTCATAAACCGAAATAGATCAGTTAGTTGATGAGGGTTGATAAACTAAATAGCTGATATAGTTATCTGGGTGGTGGTTTGGAACATTTTTTATTTTTCCATATACTGGGAAGATTAATCCCAGCTGACTTTCATATTTTTCAGAGGGGGTGAAACCACCAACCAGTTATGTTTGTAGCTGATATCGCGGAGTGTTTGCCTTAGATTTCATAGTGAAAAAGCAACTGGCATCACCTCCGATGTCTTTCGGGGTTCGGGATGAACAATGAGGTAAAACTCCAGTCTTGGGCATATAAAAATGGGATATGTCACCATAGGGATATGATATGCAAATGTCATGGCTAAATGGATTCATGACCACTCTTAGGGGAACAGTTTAACTCTTGACCATGGCATGTCATTGCTGCGTAACTTCCCGTACGTGCTGGTACATACCCGGAATAGCAATTAGGTAAGGACCATACTACAGCCCAGTTCTATAATGTAATATATATATATAGTGTATATGGAATATCCCGAGTTATTTACATGTCGTAAACCAATAAGGTGGTGAGTTGGTTCACATAATTCATAACAATACCCTTGATCTATAGTATTCTATAGTTATATCATGTTGTATCATTGTAGTTATATCCCCTTAATCAACCCTAGTTATTGGAATTACCCTCTGGTAAACTAACATAACTATGGAACATCAACATTTTTAATGGGCAAACTCGCTATAAATGGCCATTTTCAATAGCTATGTTTGTTTACCAGAGGGTATCTTACTAGATGGGCTGGACATCGTTTTTGTTTTTCGAAGCATCCCTCTATGATGACCTTGGAACTGGCCCATTTCAGCAGTCTAAGGAAGTAGAGGTACCTACCATCCATTAATTTACTAAGGGATAGTATTTGAATTGATAAGTAGGTAAGAACGATTTTGTCAATCCCTGATAGGGATTAGACGATTATTCCATTTTTGCGTTTTCTGCAGCCGAGAAAATGCAACAACTCATAATCAACAAGAGGTCACCCGAAAATCCAACTTTTTGTTACCCTCTGGTAAATTAACATAGACCCTGGCAGAAGTTTCCATTAAAACTAGGCTATTTTCCAGAGTCTATGTTAATTTACCAGAGGGTAAACCATGTTTTATGTTTTTTTTTCTCCAGCAAAACAACTATTTTAGGGTAGGCCCGAGGTTCAGACACATTCAGAATCCCACTCTTCAGCCCGTGGGGGGCTGATGACTCGTTCTGGGTTTTCTACAATGAACCCCGACACTGACCGACCAGAACAGTGGAATGACGGAGTTGGTGAAATCCCCATTAAATCCCATTCACTCCCAGTAAGCCCCATTAAACCACTATTGCTAGTCAGATTCCCATAATGATCCACAATTTTCCGCATTGTATCTCCATCAGAAACATCATTCAACAAACATGTCAGGGAACCGATTTATTGGAGCTACCTACCATCTCTGGTTGGTGGTTTGAAACATGAATTTCATGACTTTCCATTCAGTTGGGAATGTCATCATCCCAGCTGACTTTCACTCCATCATTTTTCAGAGGGGTAGGTCAACCACCAACCAGCTATATAAGTAACTAAGTATGATAATCAATGGGATTTTGCACCATATTAAACCATACTAACCATATTATGGTATATCCCAGTAAATCCCATGAAAGATCCCAGAAATTCCCATTTTTTGTCACCATTTTTACCCACCAACCAGATATATATATCCACCATGAAACCCACCAGGCACTTTGATTCGCCACCATATATATATATATATACTGGTTGGTGGTTTGAAACATGAATTTTATTTTCCATTTCATATATGGGAGAATTAATCCTTTCCATTGACGAATTCCATCATGTTTCAAGATGGGTAGGTCAACCACCAACCAGATATGATTGTGACATGCCATAAATAATCTTGAGATTTCAGTATCTCAATACCCACTATTAACCACTATAAACCACTATTAACCACTATCCAGGGAAGATCCCCACCAAAAAGGCGGGCCTGAAAATTCAGGGTGAGATCCGATCCAACCGCAGGTTTTTGATCCAGGCCTCCGCGGTGCATCTGGCCTTCAAGGCGGGGAGCGCGTCGGGGTGTCTCTGTGGTTAGCCAGTTATAGTTTGTTAGTTATACCAGTTTTTTTCACTAAGTAACTAACTACAAAAGGTTAACTATGGAAAACTGGTTAGTTAGTTAGTTAGTTAGTTGGTTGGTTGGTTGGTTGGTTAGTTAGTTAGTTAAGTTTAGTTAGTTAGTTAGTTAGTTGGTTGGTTGGTTGGTTGGTTAGTTAGTTAGTTAGTTAGTTATATATTTAGTTAGTTCGCTAGTGAGTTAGCTAGTTAGTTCACCCATTCTAAGTGGGTTTATTTTGGGGATATTTGATGGGGATATCACCCACGAAACTCACCAGTATGCCGCCATGGCCCATCGAAGTAGAATTTTGTGGACGACAGGACGAGGAATGCCAAGCAGCTAACCTACAAAGGGAGTTCACGCAACTGACTAATGTGGGTAAAAGCCATTTTTACCACCCATGACTGGGAATGGTAAACGTACCACCAACCAAAAAATGGTGATGACTGGGGGATGGTTTATGACATTGTTTTACCCACATTACGGTCACATGTTTTTAGCTGACCAAAACTGATTTATACATTTTTCATAGAGTTTGAATGTGTACAAAGTGATCGAAGAAATGCATACTAACCACCAACACTTTGGGTTTTACTGGGTAAACCCACTTCTGCATGGACAGTTCTTATGTTCCACTTCTTGTTTGCCACTGTGATCGGGAAATTGATGCACCAACTGGAGATCTACTAGATGGGGCCAAAATAATATCCCCCTGTTGGTTCCACATAGAGGGTACATAAATAAATATCCCATGAAAAACCATGTTTTGTTCGGTGTTTAGTATTTGGGGAATGGGATTACTTGGCTTTATGTTGGTTCATAAATAGGTGAACGATTGGCTTTATGGTAGATATCGCCTTTTTTTCGCTGTAGTTCATGGGGTGAAACTCACACGTTTCACTGGTGATTCCTGGGCTCCACCTTGGTTTTTTCAGGATGATTTGATGATTTGGGGTTGGACGGGCAACAAAAAGGAAGGTATGAATCCGGATTAGTTGACTATCCGAACTGGGGGATGTGCCATTGCAGTTGCAACTGACCGATTTTTTATTCTTGTTCCCTTTCTTCCATGCTGGTGGTCTAGGGGCCCTAGGGGCCCCTTACATTCTTTACGACATATGGAGGATTCCTAGAATATGGGTGCCCCAGACCATTGGTTTTGCCATGGATAATCATCAATCTTGGATGATTTTTGGGTACCACCATTCTAGGAAATCCCCATATTAGTCAGAGAAGGTTAGTTATGATCCCCCTTTTCCTTCACTTCAGTACTCCCCTCAATCAGAAACAACAGTGAGTATGGTCTAGTGTACTTGGTGGTTCATCCGACTTAGTAAGTAGCTCAGTTCACCCATGTTCACCCTATTTATAAGATGTTGTAAGTGGATTAAGCCTACTGATCCCACTTATGACTGGGAAATAAGTGATATAAGCCACTCATTTACCAACCCTTTCGGGAATTGGCCAAAGACAAGATGATGACGGGAAGATGCTAAAAAAAACATGTTTGGTGCACTATTTTTGAGCTTTAGGACATACTCAAAAAGAATAGGAACTATATATAGGAACTATACTGGTTGGTGGTTTGGAACATTTTTTATTTTTCCATATATTGGGACTAATGATCCCAACTGACTAATATTTTTCAAGATGGTTAAAACCACCAACCAGATAGGAACTATATGTAGGAACTATATCTTCATATCCTAGGCTTGGGGATGAAGATAGTTGCATCAGTCCTGTCATTTTCTTCGAAGGATGTTTTCTGAGACATGGCCAGTCATGGTTGCAGCCTGGAGACTGTTGATATGGGGGGTTCCATAAATGTGGGTACCCCAAGCTCGCTGGATGGTTTATTTCATGGAAAATCCCATCTAAAAATGGATGATTTAGGGATACCCGGATACCCCAATTTTAGGACACCTCCATATAATCTGATATAGACTTTTAGTCCAATGACACACAAGTGTTTAAATACAGGAAAGTACCAGGAAGTGCCATGTTATGTTGTGTCCAACCTGGCAAACTAGGTGATTTCATGTTATTTCCACGTTTTTCTCTGGTCGAAATGTAACCCCACTGGTATGTTCATCCAGGCTCAAGCCAGATCTTCGTCGATTCTATCTCCGTCTCATTGTATAGATACTTAGAAGCTTTGATTTGTATTTTTGATATAATTAGATGAGTTTCATAGTATTTTTTTTCTATATGGAGGTGTCCTAAAATAGGGGTACCCTAAAAAGTCATTCATTTTAGATTCGGATTTGCCATTACACATCAACCATTTCAGGGTACCCCCATGACTATGGAAACCTCCATTTTTTATAGGATTTTCTATTATTTTTACCAACCAGCTATTGGGGATCTTCATTTCTGGAAACCCCCGTATCTTGATTGGTTTCATCCCAAACGCCATGAAACATCGACGCGAAGCGACCCGCGAAACGAAACGCCCTGACTTTTGCGCGCCCTGGTGCCACAGGCACTCTTCCTGGAGCTGCCTGCAGGCGTGAACCCCGGTTGACGAGTCTGGGGATGATTTATGATGATTTCTGATGATTTCTGGTAATTTATGATGATTTATGATGAATTATGATGATTTATGATGATTTTTGATGATTTATGATGATTTATGATGATTTATGATGATTTATGATGATTTATGATGATTTATGATGATTTACGATGATTTTCTGATGATTTATGATGATTTCTGATGATTTATGATGAATTATGATGATTTATGATGATTTGTGATGATTTTTGATGATTTATGGTGATTTATGATGATTTATGATAAATTATGATGATTTATGATGATTTCTGATGATTTCTGATGATTTATGATGATTTATGATGATTTCTGATGATTTTCTGATGATTTATGATGATTTCTGATGATTTCTGATGATTTATGATGATTTATGATGATTTATGATGATTTATGATGATTTAAGATGATTTTCTGATGATTTCTGATGATTTATGATGATTTATGATGATTTATGATGATTTATGATGATTTCTGATGATTTCTGATGATTTTCTGATGATTTATGATGATTTATGATGATTTATGATGATTTATGATGATTTATGATGATTTATGATGATTTATGATGATTTCTGATGATTTTCTGATGATTTATGATGATTTCTGATGATTTATGATTATTAATGATGATTTCTGATGATTTATGATGATTTCTGATGATTTATGATGATTTTCTGGTGATTTATGATGATTTATGATGATTTATGATGGTTTATGATGATTTATGATGATTTCTGATGATTTGCTGATGATTTATGATGATTTATGATGATTTATGATGATTTATGATGATTATCAGAACTAGTTGAATGGGGATCATAATGGTTGACTAGTATTTTGGAGATTATGCCAAGCACTATTATGAGGATTATCACAAAGAACGGGGAATCCATCATTGTTTATTATAATGATGAATGTCCGACGTCCTAGGAAAGCACACGTTTTCCACATGGATTTGTTTGGAAATAGATTTCCCTCTGGTAAACTAACATAGCTGTAGAAAATACCCCATTTATAGTGGATTTTCCCATTAAAAACTGTGATTTTCTATAGTTATGTTAGTTTACCAGAGGGTACCCTAAAATTCCCTAGTTGATCATCCATGTCCGTCAGACACCATAGATTCGAAGCCCATTCCCCAGTTTCAGACACACCCATATCAAATATTCATTGGTTGAATATTGTCAGTCATGTTACCCTATGGTTATTTAACATAGCCATGGTATAGATGGCCCATTTATAGATGGCTTACCTATTAAAAATTGTGATTTTCCATGTCTATGTTAAATGACCAGATGGTAAGTTCCAATTTTCAATGGGACAATTAAAAAACATCCTGGTCAAGTATACCCTCTGGTTATTGAACGCAGCGAAGTGCATAATCACTTATAATCACCATTTTCAAGAACGGTAAATCATCATTGTTATCATCTATTTCTATGGACATGGCTTCCATAAATCCACCATTTAGTTTGATGATTTTACCAGCTATAAACCTTCATCTTTATGGGGATTTCCCATCATTTTCCAATTGACAATGCAACTAGTCATAGGATACTTGGAATTTCAATCATCAGAGATCATCATAAATCATCTATAAATGGGCCATTGTCCAGTTCGTAAAGTGTTAACCCATTGATGGCTACCTCTTGCAGCAGGCGTGGGAAAGATCTTTGGCTACGGATCGTTCCTGGTAAATTACTTGGTAGAGCCTTTGGTAGCAAAAAATGGAGATTCAATGAACAAAAATGGTGGTATCATGGGGATAGGATATTCCACTTCTTAATAGTAGTTTGTAGTTATATGGTCTCGTATTGGGATGACACTGGGATATTACTGGGTCCCTTAAGAGGGATTTCACGAAGAAAAAATGTGGGATCATGTTTTTTTTTTCTAGTCCATATTTGATTTATGGGATATTTCATGGGAACATAATGCGAATATCATATGAATCTATATAATGAGCATATACAATGGATGTACAATATATATAGTATAATATAATATAATTTAACATAATATCATATAATATAATATCATATAATATCATATAATATGATATCATATAATATACTATAACATAATATCATATAATATCATATAATATCATATAATATAATATCATATAATATAATATCATATGATATAATTTAATTTAATATAGTATAATATAATATAATATAATATAGTATAGTATATATATTTATTATTTATATATATATATATATCATATATATATAGATATATAATACATATATATATATTATAATATATATATTATAATATATATATATATGTATACAAATCCCATCTAACTAATACTAAAGACCATGGAACCATGATTCAGAAGGGAAAAAACACATCTTTGGGACCATGGTTCATGGGGCTGTTTTTCATATTAGGGGGATGGGATTAATATGGCCAGCTGGGAAAATCTCGAAAATTCATGGAGATTTATATTTATACCTGGCCTGGTAAACGTTTACATAACTATGGAAAATCACCATTTTCATGGGAAAACTCACTATAAATGACCATTTCCAATCGCTTTTTGTTAGTTTACCAGAGGGTAAATGTGTCATCAAACCTCAAACACCCCTCCATCTATAGGATATTTGCCATTGCACCAGAGAATATTCAACGATCATTGGGATGCAAAGTCTCCGGCGGTTGGGAGGGAACTTTTTGGAGTTTTTTTTGTATCCACATTCCCTATGAAATGCAGAGGCAGTTGGAGCTATGAATTGACTGTCCCAATAGGTTTTGCGGATTTAATTTGATTCAACAATGTTAATCAATCATGTTATTTGATTCAACAATGGTTATTAACATTGATTAGAAAAAGAAACAAAGGTTGATATCATCATCCCTACCCCTTAATTCGATTCAACAATATTATCTAGTTGGTGGTTTGGAACATGAATTTGATTTTTCCATATATTGGGAATTTCATAATCCCAACTGACGAACTCATATTTTTCAAAGGGGTAGGTAGGTATACCATCAACCAGTTATTGTATGTAGCCCTTGAATTGCAGTTTTGATAATGAACACGATCATATGTGATTTTTGATACGTTATTTTTGGACCCCACATAGTGCTGGTCTTGTTTATCCACATTTTTCATTTTGGGGTAAATGTTGGTAATCATATACCATACATGGAGCATCTCTGATTTTGGTGGAAGAGAAGCATGGAAGGGTCCCCAAGGATGATCCCAACAATATGGGTCGAATGTTCCCTGTTGTTGGGTTTGATGCTGGTTCACAACCCCGAGTTACAGCCGGCAACGGGTGACCGAAAAATTGGGGGTTCTTGCCATTGAAGAGAATATATAGAAATCATCTGTGTCAACCACAGATGAAGCCTGGTTGGTTGATCCCTTGCAGGGCTGACCTATTAATGGGGATGAATAAACTATTCATGTGGAATAACTATTAGTAAATGATTCATATTGATTAATGGATATCAATGATATCAATGGTAATCCCTTCCCCCCTAATACTAAACAATCCAGAAACCATGGTGGATGTGGGGATGAAACCATATATTTGCTACCTCTCCGTAGACTCCTGCTGTTGGCAGGTGGCTAAATTCTGTTCTGCGTTTGCGAAAAATGTCACATGCATTCGCTGGATAGGTCAGTATTGGGAGTCACTTTCGAACAAAGACTGGTTGGTGGTTTGGAACATTTTTTATTTTTCAATATATTGGGAATAATCCTTCCCATTGACTAATATTTTTCAGAGGGGTAGGTCAACCACCAACCAGATAATTTGAAGACGTCTGGTGACGTCTACAAGGCCGCAAATGAAGGCCACAATGCTGTTGAGGTGTGGCCTTCTGGGCAAAAATGCCGGCCACGACGGCGACAGGGAGCATCACTGGACCACCACGTTCTTTTGGAGATGGCTCGACTGCGTTGGCAGTCGAGAAAGAAGCCACATACGTGCCCGGCATTTTTTGGCTCTTGCTGAGGCAATGAGAATCATATGCGATTGCGACTGGTTTGCTTCACTACTGGTAGCTTTACGAGGCTGGGTTTGTGGTAGACAAAGCTACATGATACCAAACCATCAGCAAACATGTAAACTGTATCAGAGAAGTAGAGCAGTAATTAATTATATAAACCCTTAAAAAAACAACACAAGAACCCTCATTAGACCTCACATACTCTGCGGTAATTTAGCATAACTATGGTTAAAATAGTCCATTTATGGCTGATTTACTTCTATTTCCCCATGAAATTCCCATGATATTCCCATGAACATCATGGGTAAACCATGGTGATTCATCATTGCTTTGGGTGTCAAACCACCAGGTTTTCACCATGCAATCCACAGCAGACGGTTCCTAGGAGACGATTCCCATTCCCACGGTCTTGCCCAATACGGTGGATGCTGGAGCCCCATCACATCAGGGTGTGACTGCGGAAATCTTGGGATGTTTTGATTGGGAAAATCCATGAAAAACATGGGTTTAAAATGGGATATATGGGAGTAAAATAGGATATCATGGGATAGAATGGGAGTATAATAAGATATACTGTTATTTAATAGGATATAATGGATTGATGGGATAGAATGGGATATAAAATAATGAGATATAATGGGTTTTAATCGTGGAACATATTAGAGGAAAATTGGAATATATATATATATATATATATGCTCAGCCCCCCCCCAACGACCCCCCTCAACCCGCCATCTGCTTCACTATGCTTGACTTGTGTCTGCACAGAACCACGTTGAAGTCACCAACGAGTCGCCCCTGCCGCAGCAGCATCACTTTTGCTAAGCTGAGGTCTTATGCTGCTGTGAAAACTGCCTCTACGCACCAATCGCTAATAGGAAAATTTTTGCGCTTGAGACTTTCCTACTAACATTTTTTAAAAATTTTGAAAGACTAGTATATTTTACATTGCATTTGTTTACGGGAATTTCTATCCTCCAATCAGACGATTGGTGCGATCGGATGGTGGAGGAGTCCTGGAGCGACTCTACGAGGCGAAATTGAAGAGGGCACAGGAGAAGTCAGCTGACAAGCCAAAAAGCTCGAGCGTTATAGATATTTGTCCAGACCGCGAAGACTAGTGCGAAAAAACTACAGTACACACCGCCAGCCCCATATAACCTAGGGGCATGCAAAGAGGACTATTGTACATTAGACAAATTATACGTATTACATCGTATCACTATATTACACTACATTTTGTTTTTTGTCAAAAGACTATGACGTTAAAAAGCAGAAACTAACGGTTAAACAGCAGGCATGCAATTTTTTGGTGAAGCAGTTTGGAATTGAAATGGCTGAGTTGAAGCTGGACAGATGCATGAATGACAGACAGGTCAAGGCAGTAGTTTGGATTTGAAACAGTTCAGTTACGGATTGGCAGATGCATGAGTGACAGACAGTGTTTGCATTTAGGAAATATTGGAGAAATTATGAGTTTTCATATTCTTATAATCTTCTGGGGTCACTCCATTAAAAATTTTTTTAAAAAAAACGAAGAAGCAAATGCGATGATCCAGGAAGCAGTTTGGAATTGAAATGGCTGAGTTGAAGCTGGACAGATGCATGAATGACAGACAGGTCAAGGCAGTAGTTTGGATTTGAAGCAGTTCAGTTACGGATTGGCAGATGCATGAGTGACAGACAGTGTTTGCATTTAAGAAATATTGGAGAAATTATGAGTTTTCATATTCTTATAATCTTCTGGGGTCACTCCATGAAACAATTAAAAAAAAACGAAGAAGCAAATGCGATGATCCAGGAAGCAGTTTGGAATTGAAATGGCTGAGTTGAAGCTGGACAGATGCATGAATGACAGACAGGTCAAGGCAGTAGTTTGGATTTGAAACAGTTCAGTTACGGATTGGCAGATGCATGAGTGATAGACAGTGTTTGCATTTAAGAAATATTGGAGAAATTATGAGTTTTCATATTCTTATAATCTTCTGAGGTCACTCCATGAAAAAACCAAAAAAACCTTGAGAAAACCAAAAAAAACAAAAAAAACAATATTTTCAGACTCTTCTGGGGTCACTCCATGAAAAAACCAAAAAAACCTTGAGAAAACCAAAAAAACCAAAAAAAACAAAAAAAACAATATTTAGCGATTCTTTGGGGGGGGGGCCCTCGAGATAGTTTCTAAATATTGTTTTTTTTTGTTTTTTTTGTTTTCTCAAGGTTTTTTTGGTTTTTTCATGGAGTGACCCCAGAAGAGTCTGAAAATATTGTTTTTTTTGTTTTTTTAGTTTTTTTGGTTTTCTCAATGTTTTTTTGGTTTTTTCATGGAGTGACCCCAGAAGAGTCTGAACATATTGTTTTTTTTTGTTTTTTTTGTTTTTTTTGGTTTTCTCAAGGTTTTTTTGGTTTTTTCATGGAGTGACCCCAGAAGAGTCTGAAAATATTGTTTTTTTTTGTTTTTTTTGTTTTTTTGGTTTTCTCAAGGTTTTTTTGTTTTTTTCATGGAGTGACCCCAGAGGAGTCGGAAAATATTGTTTTTTTTTTTTTTTGTTTTCCCGATGTTTTTTTGATTTTGGGTCGGCGGTCAATTGTGTTTCTATGGGGCCTTCCCCAAAGTGCCTTAAGATATTGTATTGTTATGACTATATACGAAGAAGACAAAAATGGAATACTAAAAATACGCATTTTATGCTGTAAATAACAATACAAATGACACATTGGGGGGTCGTAGGGGGGGGGGTGACCATATATATATATATAAGTATGATCATCTTCAAGTGTGTAAAGCATGTGAAATCAAAACCAGCTGAAATTTATGGTTGGAAACTATGATCATAAATAGTATGAATATCATTTTTTCAATAATCGTCCCATTGTTGTGGGTTGTTTTTGAAATATCCATATTCTATCTACTATATAGTCAGATGGGGGCGAAACTAAACCAATAGAATAAGTCTGTTGTGTTTGTTGAAATAAACAAATTGATATGGTTTGTAGAAAATCTATCTCTATCTAATAAATACATATATATATAATTAATAATATCAAAATGGGGATACCTGTACATGATTTCAAATGGCCCTGAAAGCATGGGAAAAATGATGATCTCAACTATGGAACTTATGCTCAATTTTCATACGAAGCCAAGTGATTTTGGGTGAAACTCAGAGAAACCAGGTGGTGTGCCCCAGTGATGTTTGTTGCCTTATAATCCCCTTTAATTAACTATATAGTTACTATAGTTATCTCCCCCATCAACCTCAGTTATTGCAGTCATGTTTGTCAACTTACTTAGCGTTTATAATCCACTTTAACTATAGTATACTTCCATTATCCTTGGATAAGTCAAGGTTACCCTCTTGTAAACTAACATGGCGAATTGGAAAATCACTTTTCAATTGCAAACTGTTAAATTGCCAGAGGGTAACTATAGTTATCTCCCCCATCAAGCCTGGTTATCCCCAGTTATTGCAATCATATTTGGCAACTTAGCGTTCACCTTCACGAGGGCACCACCTTGTGGGCAACTCATAGCTACGTTGAAATCTGTTGCTTGATGTTGCTTGATTAGATAAAGGTCAAGGAACATTTGAACACCATGAAAAATGGTAACCGCATGTGAGCACATCTTAAAAACTGACAACATCATACAGCAGTTGTTGTCCTTTTGGAGCCTGAAGGATGGAGCATTGGTTGGCCGACAAATAATACAAATAATACAAGAACAACAACAACTACTGCTACTGCTACTGCTACTACTACAAATAAGAATAGTAATAACAACAAAAAATATGACAATCTCTACATATAAATATATATATATACAGCTAATAATAATGACGAGATCATCAAAGTTGGGATCATCAAAGTTGGGAACATCTCTCCATGCCGTGGCGCTGCCGCGCTCAGCCTGTCTTCGGGAGCCTTGAAGACTTCACGGCGGAGTTGAAGGACGTGCCGGACATTGCTGCGCTGCAGGTAGGGCGACCTGAACCTGGGGATTGATGTGGAGTTCATGAAAACACGTGATAAAAAATCATTGAACATGGTGGTTTAACCAGACAAATGGGGGTTTAACCATTGAACATGGGGGTTGAAAACCTTTGAAAATAGGCTTTTGCGGTAACATCAAACAAGTGATTTAACAAAAGGCGTTTAAGCATTGAAAACGGTGGTTGAATGTGGTTGAGCCATCAACAATCCTCATGAATTAGTTTTCGAACAGCTACCCTTCGGTAATCGAACATGGCTAACAGGGAAATGCCAAGCTAAATGGGCAAAATAGCGGATTTTCCAGCCCATGTCGGCTCAGAGGGCATCTGATATAATGTCAACCCTGGATTAATGTCCACCCTGTTTACGGCTGTTTAATTGGGAGGGTACCATAAAAAAGTATTAGATGAAATGACTATTGGAGGAGTACCGTCCCTTTTTTTCATAAACCATGGTTTATTAATCCGGAGTTGACATTATCTGGGAGACTTTCTGAACGAATCTGGGGACTAGACCAACAAGTACTGGGGCGACCTCATCACGAGGTCATTGAAGTCACTGTTCTGAATGATGGCGACTGAACACCACCCCAAAACAGTGTATATGTTTGATTGGGAAATATCGTAACTGGCCAGAGTGAATGGAAGCCAAGATCTGGATTCTAAGCATCCACATTGTGTGAACCAAAGATGGGTATTCATAACATTCATTGGTGTTCCAAATGGGGTTTTAACATTTCTTGACGATCCAGTGGATTTTAAGCATGCAACTTGGGGTACTTGATATTACTAACCCAAGAGGATAAGGATCACGATCCACAAGCATAGTTTGGAAATAAAGTCAGCAGTGTATTTGTGCCAGCAACACCTTTATTTGTTTGATTATTTTTGCACGCATTGCATGTAGCCTTTTGATGCCTTTTGTAATCAAAAGTTGTAATGGACAATCCGAGAAAATCATCTACAAATCATCAGGATGTTCACGGATTTTTCATTGCCAGGTTTGATTACCAGATATTACCAGAGGGTAAAGCTAGCCATGTTCGCTGGCAAAAGCCCTGGTTAAAGCACCGTTTTTCGCTTGTTACCCTCTGGTAAACATACAAAAAAATTATGGAACATCATCATTTGATAGCTGGGACAACTCACTAGAAATATCTATAAATGGCCATTTTCAAACTATAAATATTATAAATGGCCATTTTCAATAGCTATTTTGACATAACCAGGCCGGGTATAACGTCCCCATTTTGGCTGCTCATTCATCACCTATCCGCAGATCTCGAGCTGCGCGTCGATCTTGACGCAAGCCATTCGACAAGAGGGTGGCTTCAGCAATTCCATCGTGCCAGTGCTCAAGCGCCTCGGCTTTTTGTCGCTTTAGTGGGAGATATATGGTGTAAAATGTGCAAATGATGTGATGTTTTTTTTTTCTCATCATATCTTTTTGACATACTCCATAGTACATGTACTGTTATATATTACATATGTATCTGTATGGATTTTACATGGAACACATATATGGATTTATAGTATAAATTGTGTCATATTTCTTATATATATATATACACATGTATGTACATATATACATGATCTGAGATCTGATCTGATGCATATACATCAAAAATATCATAACGATTCATCATAACGTAATATCTGCGCTACTACGTTAAGCATGTTGTAATATAGACCGCCTCACCTTGTGTAGCTCAGATGAAGTCCATGGTGATCCCGCAGGAAACGGCATCTGGTTCTTACATGTCCTGGGTTTGTTTAAGGTGATTTCTTTATTTTCCCAATGGAAAATCCACCAGAAATGGTGAATCTATATTATTTTTACATATTTTTTTGGGGGGGACCCCTTAAGCAAATCCAAGATGTTCTTACTACCAACTGGGATGTACATTGTGAGGAGTATCAAGTTGGATTCTCGCGCTTCGGTGGTACAGACGGATTCGATGGACATAGACATCCGCGCACGAAGCACCTACCCCATCACTGCATAAGCCTTTTTGAATGGATGTGAATGGTAGGTTCCTCCCGGATTATTTTTTGGCCATATGGGTTTTACTGAAAATAGTATACTGCAAATTGTGATTATCATTCATGGTAAATCATCATTTTCCTATAAC